TATTATTTATTGTTGTGTTCAAAACTTACTGTATTTAAATTTTTAGTCGAATTTTCATAAAAAGTATATATATATAAAAAAAGTTTTAGCCTTAAATATTACTGATAAAAATTACTTTAAGATCCACTAATTCAAACAAATTGAATTGCAATGTTAAATTGAAACATATCATGATTTGACCTTTTCAAAGATTGTCAAAATTTGGGATAGTTATTGTCGTGATAACTCAATTACGTTGCATTACATATCTTATAAAACTTTGATAAGCTATTAGTTATATGCATACATATAATTAATTAATCTATCATAATATTAGTACTGTTGTACACTACTTATTATACACTCATTTATGTTTAAACTATAAATGTTTTCTTAATATAATAATCATTTAATGTTCAATTTAATACAATAAACAAATATTCATTAATAGCGCTGACAACGATAACCCAAAATGAGGAGTAATTAATGATGGTAAATAAAAGTCTTAGTTCTGCTTTGCGCCAGAGCGAGTTTTGGATTCAACATAGAATTCAGTTCGATTTTTATTGAACCTCTTTGGCAAAGTCATTGTACCTTAGAGCAAAATACGAATTAAGTGAATTTACATTAAACCTATTATTGGTATTAATAATTTCAATAAAGAGCGATAAAGCAATACATTAAATCAATTTTACATTTAACTATTAGAGATTAGTTTGTGCCTTATTAATAGACTCTCGATTAGATATTCGAGAGAAGGTCATAACTGCTTCGTTGTCTCAGTATACTATGTAAGTTGCTTATCAGTTAGCTTATTAGACACTTCGACTGGGTATTTGTAAAAAGGTCACCATCATTTATTGCCACAGTGTCCCATATAATCTACAACACCGAAAGAACTCTTTCATTCATATTTAAAAATAACATATTTTTGAATACAATAGGCATTTTTATCATGAAGACAGCGTAGTTTTTTTTTCATATTACATAAGCTTTAATTTAAGTGTCCGTATTTCCGGAATACTTTTAAAAGTTAAGTTGAAAAGTCATTTTGAATTTCCTGTTGTAGGCAGGTAAAGGAACAGATTAAAAAAAATATACGAAATGATGCCTCATGTATCTATAAAAAAAAATTGTATTGATCCATACATTTTTCAAAAGTTATGGCAATTTAAAGTAAGAAAAATTGAAAAAATGTCAAATATTAGCAATTTTTAAATTTGTAATTTTTTTGAAAATTTCCCTAATTAGTGTGGAACGAAGGAAATATTAAAATTTTTGAGGATATTGTTTTCATCTATTTGCGATCTTCTGATGTATCGTTGAAAGAAATCGGCTTGGGTAGGCTGAAAAAAGTGGTAATAGACTAAAAAAAAAAACACATAGTAAAATTAATACTTTCTCAGCTTCGCATCGAAGCTAAAAATTATCTTATTAAGGAAATGGCAGATCAATAACAACTTTTGAAATAAAAAAATGAGATAAATATAAATAATATATCACATCTCACCACTACTCTATGTTTTAAATAATTATAAGTTATAACTATTTAAAACATAAAATTTGGAAAATTGGTCAAAAAATGTTAACAACCAGTAATTTTTATTATTAGATTCTTTAATTTTTTGTAAGTTAGTTAAATATGTATGTAAACAAAAATAGTATGTTTTTTAACCATACCAGACATATGTACATGAAAGATAAATTTTGGGAACGATTTTTTTTTAACTTTTTGAACATAATATAAGCTTTAACTTAATATATGTTTAAAAGGTGAAGTATTTCCTGAAGATTTTCAAAAGTTAAGTTGAAAAATGTATGAAAAAGTAACAATATTGAATTCCCTCCAGTGGGCAGGTTATGTTTATAAGAGTTCTAATTTAATTTTTTTATATAGCAACATTGATGTTTAACTAGTTCATATAATAGAAAATAATTTAACCAATGAAATGATTGATTAATAACAGTTTTTGAGCCATTATTTTAGAAGTTATAAAAACTTTATTATATTGGTATTATAGTATGATTTATGTTATTTTCATTGTTAAATATTTTTTTCTCACATTATTCTTCCTGCTCAGGTATAAAAATAATCATAATTCCTGAATTACAGGTTCAAAAGGTGTTATTGGCTAGTCATTTTTTTAATTTGACAATATTCTAAAGTTTAAAACAATTAAATTTGTATGTTACTATATAAAAAAATTAAGCGAACACACTTATAAGGAATAATGGATTGGCTTAAAAAATGTTGTTCCAATTGAAATCAAGAAATAGATATTACTCAACAAAGCAAAGAAAATAACATATATTTATTTTATGAGAAATCTATTAGTCAATAATAAATCATTGTAACATTAGTAAATAATCATTCTTGATTTAAATGTCAAAAAAAGTAATTTATTATGATTTATGAATCTGTGTCGTAATAATAATTCTTTAAGAAAGTGTTATAGTTTATGTAAATTATGCATATTAACACTTTGTATATTTTTTATTTAAGTTCATAACATAATAAGTTATGTGTTTCCATTTTAATGTTATGACGTAAAAGGGAATTTTTTTTCTTTATGATTTATTCATAAATAAATTGCTTTAACATCATATAAAATTTATAGCAAATTTAAGCAGATGTCATCTTTAGAAAAAAAAAATATTGAGAAAGACTAAAATTTTAAGTATTATAAATATAAATTAATTAATACATACATAAAAAGTATAAAGCTAAAAAATATATTTTTGTTAGTAAAATTTTTTTGTTGTATTTTGTTGTACTTTGTAATCGCAAAAAATCATTAAAGTTTTAGAGCTTTGTTAAACTTATTGATTTTGTGGGCCTAAATTAAATTTTATATAACCAACTATAAAAAAGTTTTATAAATAAAATTTTAGATATTTTCCTTTGATAATTGTTTGACAATTTTCAACTAATATTCAAATATTATATATTGTAGTACATAATTAATGACTATTTATTTTTCACTTAAATTCATCTAAAAATGAGGTTTTAATGACTAATTACTGAAAATTGAAAAGTTTCGCAGTAAAAGATAAGCTAAAATTTAAATTTTGATTGAATTATTTTTGTTTAAGCAGAAAATTATAACTTTTGATAATCGATAGCCTTATATAGTAAGTAAATGTTAAAACATCTTGAATCTGCATAACAACTCATAAATAGTCTCATAACTAAAAAAAAAATAACAATTTTTACTGAAGAGACAAAGTGGGTTATCAAGTTTATACAATTTAACTTCAAATTACTATCTCGTGAAAATTTGAAGTGATAATAATAAAGATAAATCAATGAACACTTACCTGCTTAAAATTTAGTGTTTTTATTTATTTTTGTGCAAAAATCCAAAAATTAAAAGTGGTGTCATTTTTTTAAGTGTACAGTATAGCGTTCTTTATCATATTTTTACTAGTTCTACTTCTTTAAAAAACTTATTATATAAATATATATATATATATATATTTCATAGTTTGGAAAATACATGACTTTTTTTCTTTTTAATATTAAAAATTGGTTTTTTATTACATTTTCTCTCTTAAAGAAATGTTTTAGAAGTAAATATTCAATTGTATTTATCTTAGAAAAAAGATAAAGTAATATTAATGTATAAAATGAAAGTAAGGTTTAAGTTTTATTTGATGTGTAATATACGTGCCATGTGCGAAAATAAACTATAATAGATATCGCTGATTGAATGTACAATGTTGGCCATTCATTCAATACTTAAAATATATTCTTCTTATCAATTATTTTTTATTCTGTTATGAAATAAAGTTTTCAATCCGTGTCAGTTAACAAACAGTATTAATATTTAATCGTTATATCGATCAACAAATTTTATGTTGATGTACTAGCGTCTATAAAATAAGCTTAGTGACAATGTTGTTTTTGGGGTACCGAACACTATACAAAGTGAATCAGATCCAAATCTTATACAATGTAAGAAATGATTAAAAAATTTCCATACATCAGTACGATATTTTTAATATACATGATATATTACCTAAACCTTGCCATTGATCACGTCATCATTTACATTTTTTTATAGTATATTTATCAGCATCAGCGAAGACAAACGGTTCTGTTAAGTATAATTGTTTTGAGTTGGTAATTTATCTATTTATTTTCAACTATTTTATCTTATACGGCTTTGCTATCCATTAGTATTTAATATTAAATATAAATGTTGCCCCTTAAAATTAAGATACTTATTGAAGAACTTTTAATATAAGTGTTAATTTGCTGTTTAATTATTATTTTTGTATCATTAATTAGATGTATGATTTCAGGCATCTACGAAGGTGACTCCTCTTACCCGCTCATCAGGCGATCGTTAACAAGTTTATGATATGACGGAATTCGGTGCAATGCACAACTAGCTGTCCTACGGTCTAGCTGATTTGTACATAATAATATGTAACTAAATAAAACCAATGTATTTTTCTTAATACTGTATTTATTTTGTGAGTAATTGAATGTATATGATAAACGGATTACTCTACGTATTTTTTTACTTTATTCATTATAAGTTATCTATTACAAAAAATTATTACCAATCTTATTGGCACAAGTCATAAATATTTATATGTATTTTTATTATATTGTAACCATTATGAAATAGTTATGGATGTTTTATCATATGATGAACAGTATCATATATTTATTTATAAACATTGAAAATATAGAGTCATAAGATATAAATTGTACTAAAGTAATGTGCTTTTTATGGCAAATATACAAGTAATAAGTATAAGAAATGTAGCCTATGACGCACATACTTTTCATATATGAATTAAGTTCGTAAATATTCTCAACATTAGTAAATTTATAAATAATTATTTATGCATTCAATCAATAAATAATAAGGTATTTATTAAATTTTTTTTTACAAAACATGTGAAAAAAAGTCATAAGTCATATAATTTATGTTTCTGTAACTAAATAATGTATTATTTACTTAGTGTACCGATATTGTATAAAATATTTAATAAATTAAAATAGATTTTAATAGTATAAGTCAGTCCACTAATTTTATATAGTTAATCAAAGAAATTTTTAATATTGTCTATTTTTTTGAAGCGAAATTCTTTTAAATTAATTATTTAATAAAAGTGAATACGATGATCTACATAATACTAGCTTCAATTGTTTTTGTCAGTATTAATGAATATCGATGTTGCGGTCCAGGTAAGTCTATTTACATATTAATTAAAATGTATTTAATAAAGAATAATATAATGTTTAGCCGGTACTACAGAGAACTCCTGCAATGAATGGAATAAAGGTATTTAGGAGTACCATAATATTATATTTATTTAATGTGATAAAAATGGAAAACTTAACAAGTATTTATACTTTTAGTGTCTTACACTGGAAATTTTGCAGGTAAGCATAACACATATAAAATATACATTAATATTTAATGTATAATTCAACTTAGTTTTCTATTTATTTATAATCAATTTTCTGTATAATTTTTATATTACATAAACACAAATAACATAGAATTTTTTTTAAATTTATGATAGAAAAATTGACTACAATTGGTAAGTTATTGATAAACATTAAATATATATTATTCATAAAATATAAATGGTTTTGAATTTTCAAAGTGGTTTTTTTTAGATGACATTAAGATTTAAATAAATAAAATTTAAAATTTATTTTTATTAATTTAAAACGCAGTAAACTTTTGTTTTAATTTTTTTAATAATTAATGGATTTTATATTAAAACAAAATTGTTTTACTTTAAAATTATATTAGTTTAATTAGTTTTAATTATTTCTGTTTTAAAATGACTAACATTGATCAAGTTTTTCTTGATACATAATCATATGTGTGCATATATAAGTGAATCGGGCTATATAGTATTATTTTTATCAAACTTATATCTAATAATCAAGTGTAAATATTTTTAGTAATATTTTAAATTTATAAGTAATCAATCCAAATTTTTAGCCAATTCTTAATCTTACTATATAAAAATAATTAAAAGTTTTCTTTTAGCTTCTTTTTTTTAAAAATTACACTCTCACTCAAAATTAAAAGTTTATTATAGAAAATGTTAGCTAAAATGAATATAAATTAATTCATTAAAAAAAGGGTCCTCATACATAATATTCGTGTGTTATTAAAATCAGTAGTTATTGGTATTAGAAGATCATTATTTTGGTAGTAACGAGAAGCTTTTAGTTTTACATTGTCGTGTTTTTTCATTACATACAATTACTTCACTTCTACGGGGCCAATTTTGCTCAAAAATAGGTCACAAAATGTATCTAATTAATACTATCAGTACCATATTGAAAATTCTCATTAGATTTGTTAATAAAGGAATAAATTAAAATTATAAATTATTAAATTTAATAAAAATGGTTATAAACAATCAATGTTGATATTTTTAGATTTCTTTTTTATATTGAGATTATTTTTTGAAAATTAGACGGTTTATTATAAAATTTTTGTTGTTAATACATTAGACATTTTCTTTACTGATGACATATTTTTTATGAAAGTCAAGTCATTAACAGGGGTACTGTGTGGGTATACCCATCAAACCAAATAAATTATTTTCAATTTTTTATAATGTAAAAAATACTGATTTTTTTACATCTACATTAAATTAAAGCAAATACAATGCACTTAAAGATAAAAAAAATTATCTAAAATCTTAATTTTTTGAAATTTTGTCTATTAGTTAAAAATTATAAAATTTTTGGTAAAAATTGTTAATTTTTAAGAGTTTGCAAAAAAATGAAATATCTACGTCATTATAACATAGTAAAATTTACAATTTTTTGTTATGCTTAATACACATTGACGAGTTGTCAACAGAAATTTTAACATTTTTTTCATTAATAAAGCTAATATTAAAAAAATAATAGTGTATTTTAATTTCTTGTATTTTTTATGTCTATCATCTGAAATCTAGCAAAGCCTCCAGGATTTTTCGATGGTAAGATTTATTGTAAATATTTCTTAATTTTAAAACAAAGTACAATTTTCATGTAATAAAATAAAATTAATGAATATTTTAAAAAATTCCTAAAAATAAAACTTTTTAATATTAAAATTTATTGAGTTTAATAATGACTATTTCTTAGATAGTCACTCAACCTTCAACTATTATCTTCGATTCAGATTAATTTGGCCTTTATCCCTACTCGCCTTTGATAAGCGCTATTAGTTCCTATTGATTTCAAATTCGCTAAGCTATTAGTTCCCTCAAATTGCTAATATTGTCATTAGAAAAATATTGCTTCATTATATTAATGAATATATTATATTTAGAGTATATTTTTTGTTGCCGCACTTATGTTTCGATTATATTTCATTTAAATTACTTATAATTGTAAAATATAATGTAAAATATGTTGTATATTAAACTTTTGCAGGAGTATCGACATTTTTCACCCAGGAGTTATTCAAAAGTACGTAATTTTTTAATTTTTTAAATTGTTCAATGATTAATATTCGCTATGAAATAAATTCTGTATTATTGCTCATTTCCTATTAAAACAATTTGAATCAAAAAGGGATTCTTTAGAACATTATGAATATTAGGGTGTCCCTTATTTTGAAAATTTTGGAAATTCTTTGGGCTCACCCCCCAAATTTGTGTATATACACATAAAAAGGGGCTACAAAAAATTTCAAGCCGATCAGATAAGTTTAACTCGTGCCGACTTGGGGTTGAAAATCGGCCAAAAGGGGTACTTTTTTAGTTTTTAGCAATAAGCAATTTGTAATAAATTTACTATTTCCAGAGTTATTTATAATTTAAAAATAATAACAATACATTAATCCAGTCATACCATAGTATTATCGCAGTACTTGTACGATAAGTGTTGTAATGAACCAGATGATAACTAACAGAATCTAGCATTAAAATTCATATATTTAGTAAAAATCGTAATATGATCGAGTTATTTCAGCTATAGCAATAAAACGATCGATTCAATGAAATTTGTACTTATTACTTATATTTCGTAAAATTTAATTTTAAACAATTTTTGTATGAAACATTAGGTCGTATCATATATGGTTCGTAATATATGATTAAATATTCGTAAATATACTAATTTCGGCAATTTTACGAAATATTATGTATTTTGACATTTTTCTAGAAAACTAATGGATTTAAATGAAAAACTGTAAGCACTTAATTTATACAAAACAATTATATCTACAATTTAGTTGCTATATTTTTTTTTGTGAGAGCGCTAATTTACGAGTTAATTTCTAAAAACTAAAAAAGTACCCCTTTTGGCCGATTTTCAACCCCAAATCGGCACGGGTTAAACTTATCTGATCGGCCTGAAATTTTTTGTACCCACGTTTTATGTGTATACACACAAATTTGGGGGGTGAGCCCAAAGAATTTCCAACATTTTCAAAATAAGGGACACCTTAATGAATATGTATAAGTTACAAAAATGCATTTAGTACATAAGTGTTTAAATATCTTGCTAAAATATGCCGTACCTTTAAGATGAAGGTCATAGCTCAATATTCACTACGTTTTAGAACGGTTAATTAAAGTGTTTAAAATTAAATTTTTATTTTATTGGTTATTAAAAAAAAATCGAAGTAACATAATAGACTGTTTTATTACTGAGATTTATTTTAAATAGATTTATCTATTTATAATAGTCGCGGATTACTATTTGTACAAATAAAACGATTATATAAATAAAATATTTAACTCAATAAACTAAAAATGTAATATACAAAAAATTCTCTTAACTATATGATACATTTTTGAATATTTAATTATATTCAGTTCTATATTTTTACTTAAAATGAGTTGAACTTTCTAAAAATAAAAATAAAATTAAAAGTTAAAACCTTTAAAGTATAACTTAAATTTAATTTAGAAACTCTACTTTTTAGATCCCACAACAGTTAAAGAACGTAAGTTTTTGAAATATTTTTTTATATCTTTTTAATATTTTTAGTATTTATTTTAACGTTATTATTTAGAAAAATATAACCTTTTGAAGTATTATGTTTCTTTTGGAGTGGATTTAATGCAGCTAAATGCCTATGAAATGATAAATAACGATCTTCTTAAGGTATATTTTAGATTTTTACTATTTTTTAATTGGTTTATTTATAAAACTAATAATTCACGTAATTTTATATATTATGCTGATTTATCTTTCACCAATTTTATTGGTATTTGTAGGATCAAAGCAAATCCCTTTACATTTTGTATGCGGAAGCAAGCTATGTAGTTTCAAAATATTATTACAGACAGTACAATTATAAAAAAGGATTATTGTTCATCAATGAAGGTAAAAATTTATCAAACTTATTAATATAAAAATTGAAAAATATAATTGGAATTGATTAATATTACGATTTTTTCAGCTATTCATAAAATAGAACATTTGCCAGGAGAAGACTTTACTTCATATGAACTTAGTATGTGGCTGGCATATTTGAGAGACAGTCAAATTCAAATTGTACAAGAACTTGAAAATTATCACGAATCTATTAGTTACATAGATGGTCGTAGAAACGAAAATTACCAAAAAGCTGTAGAGTTGTATGAACATTATTTATCAGAACCAAACTCGAAATTGGATGGTAATATGGAATTTTTAATCGGAAAAGAATTACTTAAGGTAAATGGAATATTTAACAAAAAGTATTTTATCATAAATTAAAACTTTTATTATATTTCTAGACTTCTAAGATTCAAAAGTTAAAAAAAAAAAATGTTTAATTCTTCTATAGTTATTAATTTTTCGAATAAAATTTTAGTCTGTTGATGCGCATTTGCCATTGGCTCTTCACTATTCACTAGAGAGTATAACAGATAATATTGATAAAGGAATAAAATCATTAAGAAATTATGATACACTACCCGAAGCAAACAATCTTATTGAAAGTCGATTCATTTTAGGAAATATTGAGATGAAAATAGGTAAAAAAGCAGAAGCTAAAAAATGGTTCCTAAAAGCAATTAAGTCACCCGTAAAGAATAGTCAGGTAATTACATTGAGATTTTAATGTGTATAACATACATTTTATGAAAATACCAGTATATTAAAAGTAAAATAATGTCTTCAATAAATAAAATTATTTGAAAAAAAAAATTAGCATATTCAAGTAATTTTGAAAAACAATAACTTGTAAAGAGGCGGGACTCCTCTAACTGACTTTTGTAATTAAGTAAATTAAAGAACTATTATAACATTTATTTAAATTTAATTGTTTAAACTTGAAAAAGTTTACATCGAAAGACATATTGAATTAAATACTAATATTAATATTTTATTCTTTTGAGTAAAACTTTTTTTGCATTTATAATCTTAAAGTATAAAATTATATTTTTTTAGGACAGAGCAATTAACTATGAAGTAAAGAAAACATTTGAGAGATTCTGTAAGTAATTTTTATTTTATGTAATATTATTTCCATTTAGTATAACTTTAGATAATTTTTAGTATAAAAGAATAAATTTAATTTAAAATAATTCCATAGGTTAATTAATAATTAATACTAATCGTAGTACAAAACCATAAACAAAGTTGGCATTAGAAATCGTGAGGTTTCTTGCAAAACAATTTATCAGGACTCTAAAAATTTTTAATTAAGAAAACAAGTACTATGTTTAGTTATTTACTTATTTTGCGCGGGTCTTAATTCGCGTAACCCTTGCTCTATAAATTTATATACTATCGCAATACTAATTTTTACATGCTTCTTTTACGCGTGTATTACTTGGTTTTATGATTATTTTAAATTTATTTTATAGATTCAGATTTTTGGCCTAGTAAGTTTGAATTAATTTACATTATAATTTTTATTTTAAACTAAAATATTTCAAAGCTACCTAAAAATACTACACAAACAAATTCAATTTTCAGAAATCTTTTTTTTAGTTTTGTAGAAAGACAATTTTTTGTTTACTTTAGCACAGTTAATAGATTATAGTAAAAATAATAAAAAAAAATTATACTTTTTATCTATTTGTATAAATGAGTACACAAAGTTATGAAGACTTTTAAGGAAAATTTCTGAACATTAAGAAATAATAAATGTTTAAAAAATATTATTTTTTAATAATTGTTACATATTTGAAAAAAGTAAAACTCAGATGGGGATTATATTAATGTTATTTTATAGCTTTTTTTTTTTAATTCTTAATTTTAAAGCTATTTTGACAATATATAATAAGAAAAATTTAATTTTGATGTATTGGGGATTTTTATAAATTTATGTAGACAAACTATATAGTAAAAATAAAAAAACAATAATATTGATTTAATTTATTAACGATAAATAGTTCACAAAAATAATTCAATTATAATAATTATTTAACTGAAAGTAAATTTTTCAGCCAGTGAGAGATATTCAGATTATGGTATGTTTTATTAGTTTTTAGTTTGATAATTTTCTATCAATAAAATTATAACAAAACGATGTTTTATGTTTTAATAACATATTTTATGTATGAATATAAAAATATATTATACAGTTATATTAAATAAAATTGATTAAATATCGTTGTTGTTGAAGATACGTTATATTGTAGAAATAACAACAATATGTTAATTCATTTGTTGATTTAACATTGTTCACACAATATTTTCAATTATTTATTTTTTATTTTTTGTAAAAACTAAATAACATGATTTATATTTTATAGAAAATCAAGTGTTCAGTAGACTTGATACTAAAATAATAAAAAATTATAGTAATTTTTGGCCTAGTTTATTAAAAAAAGTAAGCGTAAAAGAATTAATTGAAATTTTATAGTTAATTTATCATTACGATTTGTTAGGAATTTTTGAAATGATACAGTTTAAAATTTGTATCAACTAGTCATTATATAATATTATTATAATAATTAAAATATAAATTGTGTAATTCATAAACTAAAATTATCAATATTTTATATTTTGTGATATTTTTTAGGAAAATTTTAATCCACAAGCAATATATGACTTTGTTAGGACAGTGACGCTTTATAATTCAATGTACATTAATGAACAAAATCCAAATAGTGCTACTGAAGATTTGATAAATGAAGGTGAAAATTGAATAAGTAAATTAATAAAACAAATGGAAAAATGAAGTAATTAAAAATATTTTTAGGCATTAGCGCATTAAAAAAGATTGAACACCTTGCCCCTTCACGTGATTATTACAAGTGGTTAACAGTGCTATCGGGAGCAAAATGCTACAATGCATCAAAGAGTAGAGCTAATCTGGAATTAAGAACAAATCTTAAAAATGCTATTTTATTAGATTCTGATAATACCGATCCACATTTAACTTACTTGTATGGAAAATACGTATGTCAGGTAATAAAGAAATTTGTTTTAGTACTATTTTTACTATGATAAAATTTGATCTACGGATAGGTGATTATTTTATATGTATAATATATATATATAAAATAATATATATTATAAGCTTAACAAAAATATTATTTTAGACTAGTTTAAATCCTGATGGCACTGATATAGTATCCAATGTTGGGTGGAATTTTAAATCTGAAAAAAAAGAACAAAATAAATATTTGAATTCTTGTATAAAACAAATGGAAAAATTAGATAATGTTGTATCTCCATATATTAATGTCATTGATAAGAATAAACTTCTGGCTGAAGCTTATTGGAATAAAAATCAACATGAAAAGGCAATAAACTTACTTGAAAAAACTATTTTTATAACATCTGTTGTAAGCGCCGAGGTAAATTTACTTGAAACATTTATTTGAAACATATACTTTACTTACTAAAAATCTTTAAATAAAATTTACAGGATAGATGGTATAACTTTTTAGTACAAGAGCTTTTAGGACATTATCAAGCTGAAAAATTTAATGAACGAAGACATATTAATCCAGCCAAAAGTATCCATCAAATAAATTTATCCACACCGATTTAGATAATATATAAAATAAATTTTAAGTATGATAATATTAAATTTTGAATTGAATTTTATATAAAAATTAAATTTCTGATTGTAAAATAAAATTTATGTAAAATTGAAAAGCTGCACTTTTGTTAATTTAAATTTTTAACATATATGTTATTCAATCTATTACTATTGTTTGCTAATTAAATATTATACTTAATTACGATAAAATGTATTATATAAAATGTATAATATAAAATGTAATATTACAAAAAAATGTATGGTTTTATTTTCTGTATACTAAGGTTAAATTTTGATTTAAATTGTGTAGTACAAGTGGATAGAAAATATCAGGATCTAAATACCGTATATTAGGGTAATGTTGATATGAAAATAGTAAAAAATAAACAACTAAAAAAATTATTTATTTCGTTACCATATTTTTTATGAAATTTCGCTTAAAAAAAATGTAGCATATCTACCAAAAATTATATGTTTTTTGACATGCCATTAGAGTTTTACTTCTCGTGATGGATAAATCACTGTAACATTCTTTTTTTTTAATATATAATTTTTAATTATATACATTAAACAAGCTTTAATTGGAAATAATTTAGAATGACATATCCAAAATATTAGTAATATTGGTCCAGTAGAAGTTTGTCAATTTGGTGTATAGACAAAATAAAACACGGTAGAGTAAAACAATAGCTGTTAAGTTATGAATCAAAAATAAATATTTTTTATTTTAACGTGATAATTATCAATAATTTAAATAATAATAAGTATATTTTTTTTTATAAAAAATCAGAACTTTACAAGATTGATTCGATTTGCTAATATATTTAATATCACTAAATTTAAATTAAAGTTAATTAAATTCAAAGACTTTTATTTGAGAGGAATGTATAATATGCATTTTTGTAGAAATATATTCAACTGGGGTGATGATTTATCATCCTTTAAAAAAATTCCACTATTAGACTTGTAAACAGTTGGTCAACATGTTATGTTCAATTAATGAATATGTGTTCTAGATACTTATAAATATAGAAAATTTTAGACTGGTTAAACCTAGTATAGTTATAGGATATAATATATCTTATAAAAAAAAATAATAATAAAATGCAGAATATTATTCTGCATTTTATTTATTTTCTTTTTATTATACGCTGTAGTCATCTTAGTGTATACATAGACATGGCAATTTCAAGGCATCTTAATTTCTTAATCATCTATTATTATATCATCATTCTATTATTTATTTATAATGGACATTTTTATTCCAAAATCTGAAAACATGTTAAGAAGATTTCAAATTAATAAACAGGGTTTTTAAAAAACACGTCTTAAAAAAACCCGTTAAAACATAAGTAAACAATTTAAAACGTTTATAATGTTCTTTATACCAATACAAATATTAAAATTGTAGTGTTTTAAAAATTGTATGTTTAATACGTTACATCTCTATATCATAAATTATGTAGATATATATTTTTTAACTCTGATCTATAATAAAAATTATGAGTATAATGTTTAAATTACACGAATTATTTAAGTTAAGAATGTTATGCTACTTTTCCTATGCGAATTTTTGATTTCATCATTTTATCTACATGTTTGAATACTGAGTGATTTATTTATCATAGACCACTTCATTAATCAAGAAACAAAAATAAAATATTTTTTTTATTTTCTATTATATCGTTATTTTGGAAGTAAAAACCCTAATTTTTTAAATGTCTTCAATTAAATGTGTAAACTTAATTTTTTTAATGGACAAAAATTTGAAATAACGAAAGAAGGTGAGACACGGTGGAACGACTTACGTCGCAAAAATGTGGTCGACACTGGTTTTGAGGGTAGAAACCCGTGGGCCGTTTATTAAATGAGCGACAACAGATTATTTTAACAAAAAATAAAACAAACCGAAAAGATAAACACAGTAATAATAATCTTCGCATAATATCGCGGCACTTTCGATGGCGTCGACGACACGATGTCCGGCGTAATCCTCGGGCGACAAAAGGTTAGCAGCGTTGTAGGCGACGGTGGGCGGGTGCGGATCGGTTGGTCGACGTTGTCGCTTTCACAACGGGAAGAAGACTCTCGCACCATTTGCGGCGGGTCCTCGTCGGCCGTGCGGCATTTGCTGGACTTTGCACCGTGGCGTATGGCACGCGGTGTTGGTCAGTCAAATACTCATAAAATAGGGCGACGGCTGATAAAGGTGGCACGAGTCGCGGGGCATCGTGTATAACGAAGCGACGCGGGCCGTGTCAACGGTTGCCGTTATTTTTATCACTCCTCCTCTCATCTAGATAAAACAAGGTAAATCATTTCTAAAATACTGGTAAAAAAAAATGTATCGACCAATAACATTCTTAATTAGATTATTATCCCACTAGATAAGAGTATGCTGCTATTTAAGAAAATAAATATGACACATTTATGAGGTATAAAGGTAAAAAACAAAGATTATTTCACGTTTGATAAATAGAAAAATGTACAAACATACATATATTTTTTTTGTTAATACTACTAAGAAAAGAATTATACTGCAAGTCAGGCTTCAAATATTATTATTTTATTTTAAAATTTTCCATTGAAAACATATACGTGATGATCAAAAAGCTATTTTAATATTGTTATAAATATGTTATAATTTTATTTCTAGTATCTTTTGTTAAAAGACAATGTGTATTTTTTCTTTGTAATAATTCAATAATATTAATGGTAAAATTATTATGAAAACATACTATAATAAATTAATTAAATCATATGTGTATTGAGAATCAACTCTTATAATAAGTTTAACTGTATATTTAATGTAAGTTAAATAAAAATTAGTAACAGAGTAAAATTGAAATTGAAAAAATAATTGTGCACAAAGAATGTTTCCAATTAGTTATTTTTGGTGAGGGATTGTGGTACCTTATTTTTCTGTTGTAATAGGCCCGTTACATAAAAACACTATTTCGTTCTCTTCACTTTTCTCTCAACACAAACAAAGATTCTATCCTATTACACAATACTTCTCACAACAAATACTATACACGATCATTATTTTCTGTTCTTAATCACAGCCAAACACATAGTTGACACAACCATGCCATAGGTATCCGCTTTTCTTTTTACCGCACGTGCACCCTTCAAAAATCAAATGCTTCTATTTATTATTTTCAGTTAAAGAACCCTTTTTCAAAGTATAAACAAAATCATGAAATTCCTAAAAAAAATGTGAAGCAAATGAAAGCCGGATGATGAATATGTGCGTCTCTGGAAGGGGTTACAGAAGGACACAAGGAGAGACCGAGGGATGGACGCGCTCGACCTGTTTCGATCGAACTCTAAGACGAACACGTTGTATTCATCGTCTGGTTCTCAGAGCTTCCTTAATTTAACACCGCAGAATAATTATAAATATATTTATCAATATATAAGTTTGTGTTTATTAACTAAGAACAATATCTCTACCGAACCTTCACGTGATTTAAAATAAAGGCTATTTAAAAAAAAAACCTTCACGTGATGTAATTACCTTCTAATTATTACAATTATTTTATATAATCATATGTAAAGTTATATTAATTATATTATTTTATCATCAACAACTATCTGGCTTTGCGTTCTTTTTATCATTATTCTACACGCCTAAAGGATAAATAAAAGCTCAGGTAAGAACATTCAAGCTTGGCTTGCAAATTAATATTAACAAACATAGACTCTCGAACAACACACTCCGTGTAAAATATCAAGAATAGTTATTTATATTCGATTTCCCCCCTTTACCATATTTTTTGGTATACGACAAAGTGGCGCCCAACTATAAGCTTAGTTTTTTTTAACTAAGGGTCTTCTTTACCATTTCATAATTTAGTAAAATATATAACAATTGTTACACATTACACTTTTACAAACTATAGGCAAGTGAAAACAAAATTTTTAGTGCATAGAGAGACGCATGAAAGCAAAGTCGATTGAAACAGCTCAAAGAGATATAGTTAAAAGAATAAAGAATAAATTAGAGAATTTGAAAAAAAAAAAAAAGAAAGAGTTAGAAGATAATAATTTGAAACAGAGAGAATCTCAATAAAAAAAAAATAATAAGTTAAATGTCTTTAAGCGTACGAAAAACAATTTCTGTGTAAAAAAATCTTATTGCATACTAAAATTCTTTCAATTAAACTATTATTAAAAATAAAAATACATATTCATATATCATAAAGAAATAATGAAAACAACTCTATCATTGAGGAAGTAGGTGAAATTATTTTAGAAGATGCAACTGAAGAACAAATGAAAGCTGTAGAGTATACAAAGGACTCGGGTGAACTGAGTTATATAATTTGTTTAAATTTTAATTTAAAGAATAAATTAATATTAAAATGAAAAGTTTAATAAAATGTACTTGGTGAGTATTTTTGAAAGGAGTTTTATATAAGAAAATGTTTTTTTTTAATTATAAATAAATATATATCATGGAGATGTGTGGAAATTTATTCTATAATCCACCAACCTTTTCGGGCGGCAGAAATGAGAGAATAGACGTATTTTTAAAATCATTCAAAAAGGCAGCAGAAATCAATGGTTGGTCAGAAAGAGATAAATCTTTTTATTTAATAGCTATTTTGCAAGATGCAGCTCTTACTTTTTATGATAATATTAAGTCAGAAAATTTTTTAATGTTTGAGAGCAAAGTCTTTGACTATATATGATTTGTGAACATTTGATGTATTGTTCATCAATGTTGGTTCAGTGAGAGCTGAGAATAAATGGCAATATACACATACAAAAAAAGAACACATCAAATAAAATTAATACTTGCTTAATTTTGCATCGAAGCTAAAATCTTTTTATAAGCATAAGAACTAAAATTATTAGTTTTAATAACTTTAATAAAAAATTGTATTAAAAAATTCATACCCATATAATTAAATAGAAAACATCATTCTCTATGATTTAGAACAATGTTTTCATTGTTCTAATACCCAACACACGATAAATCACTCTTCATTTCAATAGATATGCTCTATAATATACTCTGTTTAAAATATTTAAAAATTCAAGATAAATTAATTAAAAAATTGATACATACAAAATTTTACAGAATGTTTTGTAAATAAAGGAATGGGTTTTTATTGTTCTTATTATTTGTAACAATTGATCTGTTTCCCTACTTACTTAACATCCTATAGACATATATATATATAAAAATAAAAAACAGCATAGTCAATGTAATATACTCCAGTATAGATTAATATCTGACAGAAATTTATATTACTATTATAAAATACTCTGTTTTATAATAGTGTGCTAGTTGTACACAAGGTTGCCGTCTTAACTCAAGCCTGTTTATGATCGCTAAAGGAGCAGATGATTGTAGTCTCCTAGTTGGATGCCAGTTAACCGAACATTCAATTAATGACGCAAAAATAATAGTTAAATAACAAATAAACACTTATATTAAAGGTTTTACAATGAGTATCTTAAATTTAAGTTTAAGGAGTAACAAGAGCTCTTAAATACTAATAGCTGGCGAAGCGGTATAAGACAGAAATTTAAAATTAATTAAAAACTTGACTGTATATAATCATTGGTGATCAAACTATATGAGATATTGTGATAATACTTGATGATAACTGACTTTGGCTTCACAATATATGACAAAAATCGACTACGGAAGTAAAGTTCATCAATGATGATCAGGGCTCAATTACTGAAGGTGTACAAGAGAACGGGAGCTTTGATCACAAGAGAGCAACAAACAAATAATAAAATATGGCCATACAGTAGCAGAAACGAGCATAGGCGTTTGCATACCAAAAGAAAGATTATTGTTTTTAGTATTCTTAAAATTGTATAAAGATAAAATTGTTTTAAAAAGTTATTGTAATTATAAAATACAGAAAATTTTTTAGTTTTTCTTATAATAAACGACTGCCTGATTTTGAAATTGTTTATTTAATATTTAAGACTGAGAGGATTTTTTCAATTTTTAAACAAGATATTATTGATCAGTAAAATTAATTAAGTAAAAAATAAGAACTTTTATAGATAGACACAAAAAGAAAAACATAATGGTAAATTTTATATCTACTCAGCTTCATAATAAAGCTAAAAATGGAAGATCGAAACAGTCTCATTAATTTTTCAATATTAATTATAGTTATTAAATTATATGATAATGTCTCACAAATAAGAATTAAAAATAATGTTTGTGGTAGATTTAAAATGAGAAAAAAAATTTACTAAAATTGATAATGACGTTTTGGTAAACAAATGATAAAATATGGTTATTTTTTTCTAGAATAAAACGTATTAGTAATATACATGTACATGTTACATATTATACATGTATAAAAACAATATAGAAAAAAAAATTATTTTTCTGAAAATTTAAGTATAGGAAAATATCATATGAACAAATACAAGTATACGCAAAATATTGTTAAATTTATGACCATTCTATTTAGTCAGAATTGTAAAATTACAACAAACAGCCAAAATAGTGCTACAAATCATTATTATTTGTTTACTAACATAAAACATTTATTGATATTTAGGATTTTCGCAGAAATTTATTGAGGATTAACACTTTTTGCCAGTTGTGTACATATATGACTAACTTTTTGAATAAAAAATAATCATAAATGTTATAGTTGAAAACATATTAAATCATATACAATTGGTTTTATTAAATTAAAAAACAAATTATATTATTTTATAGTTGCAATGAACTAATTATTTTCTTACGTAAAATTATGTTATCATTTATCATATACGTTAATCAGTTATAACTTATAACTAAATATTGTTTATTATTACGTTTATTGTAATTTAAACTGACATTTAAGAATTAAAATACCATTAATCTAAATGTGCGTTTAAATACTTTTTATTTTTTGCGTTACACGTAGCATAGGTGATCTATCTTCAATGTTTATTGTATTCATATTTTATTTGATATTGTAGGAAATTTAGTTATTACATTGTGTGGGGTAACATCGTCAGTAACAAATACTATCAGTGAGAGAATATCACTGAGTTATAAAATATTGTATAATCTTATTAAAATCTTATTATAATAAGTTGTTGCTAGAAGTTTTTATGGTTATGACAAAGAAAACATTTTAGTTAAGTCTTATTAAAATATTACTATTTTTGATGCAATATACTTTCTAAAGAAAATACTATCTAAAGATAAGAGGAATTAAAAATTATTATGAGCCTTTAAAACCTAAAATGGACTTTAAATGTAACTTAAATAAAGTTTAAAAACCAAAGAAAAAATTTTAGTTAATTTCCTTTTCTGAATTTTATAAAGTTAAATTTTAAGATTGGTTATAGTTTTAAAAGTTATTTCATAATGCTTTTGGTATTTATAATTATTAACCTTATAAATTTTTTAAAAAAAGTCGATACAGGTCAAGTAAAATACTAAATATAGTTAAATTTTCAAAAACCGAATTAATTTTTGTTTTTAGCCTTGCTAGAAAATTCAAATTTTCAGAATTTAACAATGAATTAAAATTTTTGTGCAATAAATATTTTAAAATTATTTATATATATAATATAATTTGCAAAGACGAATATTCATTTTGTGGGTGTTATTTAAAAATATAAATTAATAAAGAACTATAAAAGTTGAAAAACTCTGAAGTGTTTATTCATTGGTGAAGCTATCATATAGTTATAACCCTTTCTGCCCAAAGCTTCTATTGCTATCCTAAACTGAAAAATACTTTTTCCATATTATCATGAAAAAAATTTGCAGTTAAAAATTTAATAAAATTCATTTTTTAATTTTACCTGTATCTTTAATAATTATGATAACAGGTCTCTATAATTACAAGAAATTATGAGCGTTATCATTCTCTATTCTACTTACGAATCAATACTGTTCTATCATGGATACTTTTGAAAATAAATTAAAAAAATTTAACTTTTTAGCAGAACTTTTAGGTCCTGTCGGTTAAGAAAGAGATAAAAAAAATAAGCAATTGGGTAGGCGCAATTTTTTTTAAGCATTTAAATTGTAAAATGAAGATAAATATTTTTTTCGGGAATGCTGCACTTTAATTGCTTTTCAAATTTAAATGAAATAGCTTATCTTATACAGCTACCTCTGGTCAGAACATTTATAGCTACGTAGATCATATTAAAAGATATTATGAATTGAGGCTCTTTGAGTATTTTTCTCCACATTAATCCATGTCCTTTTCTATACAAATTTTAAAAACCTATTTTTGTAAGTTTCATATTTAGTATGGTATGAGCCACAGAATTATTTTTGTCACTTTTACGTTCACATATCGTCATTTATACTGCAATAGTACTTCTCTCAGTTATTAAAAAAAGTTATTAAAAAAATTATATAAAAAAGTTATTCTTAAGAGGGTTGTTTATTTTGGAGCGTCAACGATGTAGGTTTTATTCACTGAATTTTAAATAAAGGTGAAGATAAAATTAGGATAAAAATAAAGGTGAATTTAGAGGTACTTAATGAACTGATGCCCAGCCATATAGTTTTTATGATAAGAACACCTACTATAATAAATTATAATTAAATTATTATTATGAATTATAACATACAGGCTGAAATAAAAGATTACAACTACCCCAAATATGCTATGTTGAATTTGATTCATTAAATGGATAATGAGGTGGAGGAATTTGATTTATCTGATAAAGAAGTAAGTCGGATATATTTTTTTTAAACAAACGTTGAAAAGGATAATTTAGGTTAAGAACAGGTTTACAATGGTGTAAGACGAAAGAGATAACTCTGATTTAGTTAGTCTAAACCGGGTTTGAAAGGGATTATAACACAGTTCCACAGAAAAATCGAAATCAGACCATGTTTACTTTATGTTTTTGGGGTCGCTGTATTTGAATCTGAGGTTCATTTGACTCCATCACGTCAGGGATTTTCATCACATCAAAAAATATTCCTAAGAACTAACATATTCATTAGGAAGTAATACAGGCTATTTTTAATCAAAATCTGCTGTACGCAGAGCTATAACGTATAAAAAAGCCTAACCTTACTGGGACTAGCCTGATCTATTATTTACAGGTTACACTGAAAGTACTTTTGGCATAATATAAGTAATATAACCACACAATACTTCAGTGCTAATACTATATTAGGTGTGGGAAGTTGTATTGGTATAGAAATTGCCCTGTTGAATTAGTCGAGTAATATTACTTGATTTTTAAGCACATTTTTTGAGGTTATGAAGAATCCTGATGTGACGGTGTCAAGAAACCTTAGAATCGGATTTAGTGACTCCAAAAGCATATAGTAAACATGGTCTGTTAATTAGCACTTTTCTTTCGATTTTTTTAGGTTAGGCTAGTCAAGTAAGGTTAGGTTTTTTTATAGGTTAAGGCTCTTGTAAGGAATAATTAAAGAATTATCTTAGGTGTACAATATTTTTAATACATAAAATAGTATGTACATAATTAAATATGTATAATAATTATACTGCTATAGTAGTATAATTTTTCCAAAGTACAAAAGTTTTTCTCTAAAGTTGTACTCTAAATACAACACTTTCATGATTATTTAACATTAAATACTTCTATATTATAATAGAAGTATAATATTAATTCCAATTTACCCCATTCAAGATGACCTATTAAACTACAAAAGAAGGAATTTAATTTAATTTATTTCGTTTTAAAGCATAAAAAAATCAATCCATTGAAAAAAAATCCAAATTTTAATAGTAAGATGATACGTATAGGAAATGTTTGATATTGGTGATAAAAATTGTTTATTTGCATATTGATTATGGCAATTTTTTGTTAAGATATCGCTATTTATATATAAAATTAGTGTGTATATTAATAATATTATACTTCTGTAAAAAGGTGCTAATTAATTTTATTTTGGTTGTTAAACGTTACAACGAAAACTATTAAAAAAAATTTGGTTATTTAAATAAGCTTGACATGATAAAATATTTGACGAGCATATTTTAACAATATTAGCTTACAATTCTAACATAGAGAACACTAATTTTAAATTCATTTTTCACATAAGATATGAATCAGTTTATTACTTGCTACTTAAAAATGAAAAATTATAAAAGTATTTTATTTTCAAAAGTAAGTTAAGATTATTATCTCTAATTTTTTAATAAAATTTCATTTATAAACTTAGAAATGTATATTAGATTTGAAATAAATAAATAAATAATTTTAAATAAAATGATCTCATTTTGATAAAAACTATAAACTTATATTCCATTTATAGTAATTTTTTATAAGTGCGTCATAGCACATCTGTTAATAAATTATAATTTTACAAATTTCTTTTAATGTTTTAAAAAGTGAATATATAAACACTGCTTAACCAAAAATTAAAATATAATTAATTTTTTTAAATAGTGATTATTAATGTATTTACACTAGTTTTGGAATTATCCTTTAGACATCATTAAAATGAATTTAATTTTAAAATTAACGGGAAGCTGTCAAATTATCTTTTTATTTTTTGTTTGTTTGTTTTCGCGAAAAACAGTAGCAGTATATGATGATAACGGAGTACAAGTAAATATTTAAATTATTTTGTTTAACTGTAAAATAATTATTTAGATATATAATTATAATATTTTTGACCAAAGTACAAATAGTATAATGATGGCAGGCAAGTACAATAAACATTAAAGAATGCACTACATACTTGACAGAAACGTTCTGCATAATAGAAAGCTCATATATATGTTATATTAATTTCAATAAATATTTTTTCATGCAGTTAATTATTAGTAATATTATTATTTAAGTAATATTAATAAAATCATAACAGTTTTTATACAAAATGATTCACTTAAATAAACACATAAACACTTTAATGTTTTTATATTGTTTATTGTGACAAAAAATAAATTAAAAATTTCCATCGTAAGAGTTCATTTGTATATTTAAAAACTTTTGTATTAATTACAATTAAAATTATTATTTTTTTTTTTACTTTTTGGAAAAAATTAACAATTTAACTTATGAAAAGTAACCATACATATATTTTTTTTCAAAAATCTTTATATTAGATATTTATATATTTATTTCAGAATATAAAATGGATGACGCAAACACAAAATGATCCCGTTTATGAAAAAGATATGTTGGAATTACTAAACAATATGGAAACTTTAGAACCTGTCAATCAGGAAGGAATCATGAGATTACGTTTTGAAGAGCGTGATATTAATTTATTGACAAAAAAATGTTCGAACAGATCATGTGTGAATGAGAAGGAAACTGCCATAACAAAATATAAGAGAAAAATAGAAGCATTACAATGTGTGAATGCAGCTATAGTATACACTGCTCTTCTCAACATGAATTATTTTCTTTTTAAACAAGGAAACATTGATTACCAAAAGACAGCAGCGCGAATGTTGTCTTTATTATACAATGCGAAAATTACAGCTCATAACTGGTTATGGTCATTTTATTTTAGAATGGGATCACCAGATGATTATAAAACGCTAGAAGTCGATAAATATTATCCTGAAAGGCGTCTTCAAGATGAAATCATACAACATTTGGAACTTTGTCGGTCTTATAAATATTTACCACCAGACTTTGGAAATAACGTAGCCGAAGAAAAATATGAAAAAGATAAACTTATGAGGATTCGTCAATATTTTTATAAAGACGAAAACACAAATTTATTATACCTGAAGAAAATATACTCTGAAGCTAAATATTTTAACTTAAAAAATTTAATGTTGTCTAACGTTTACAATAATCAAAACTTGTTGTTTCATAAGCTTGGCAACGTTGAAGTTAGCTGGGAGGAAACAAAATTACTGTTAAATAAAGTTAAATTGAGGCCAACTGACTCAACATCGTATTCATTGATCATGCGTATAATTAAGTTAAATATACTTTATTTATTGTGGAAGCATAGTAATATATTTTATGTTAGTCTTAAGCGAACCTTTTTTGATCCAGCAATGAACTTGACAAATCGCAAAATATCAGAGTTTCAAAATGCAATATTGTATGGATTTGATTTGGCTATCCAAAATATAGGTCTTTTAAATGATCTTTTGTTCATAAATATTTTGCATAATTTAAAGCAGAAGATACAAGGAAATATATTGATTAACCGAAAGTTGTGTAAGAATTTAGAAGAAATGAACAACAATCTAAAAAATATTATAGTAGAAGATTTGATAGAACTTGACGTGAAGCCCCATCAGATCGAGGTTTTGTTCAGACCCAATAACATACCATCTAATATTGATCAAATGACAAATTTGAATTTACCGCAATATCGGGAACATATAGATCAACTCTTAAGCTATGGAGAAACCGTTAAAAAAATTTTAGAGCCTATTAATTTTTATGTTTTAGAATTATTTATTAATGGAAAATCAAAATTAGTTGAAACATTTTTCATGTATTAAATAACAGTAACACATTATTTGTTGTGTATAATAAATAACTTTTTATATGTCCTAAAATATTTTAATTTGAGTACTGATAACTTATTAATGGTAAGACAAAATTAAGAAAATTATAAGAAATGTCGGCAACATATTCTATTTGATAGCTACATAAGGTTTAATTTAAATTTTGTGCATTTAAGAAAATAAAAATCTATTTTAATAAAATAAAAGTTGTTAATCTTAAAAAAAAGACACTTTGAATAAATAAATACATTTACATTTAATAATACATAAATTTTATGTAATTTTTCTATCGGTTTATTGATTTAATAAATAAAAAATATCGCAACTAAGGTTTCTCCTTTAGGTAGTAAAACTTATTTAAGGAGTAATTTAGCAAGTACTTTGGATGTTATTATCATTTGTACATCTAAATGGGGACGAAGTGTACGGCCGATTAATGTCTAGTGATAAAAATAGTAACACCTACTCCTCACCTCCACTCAATACATTACATTGTTAGTAGCTTCTGAAATACTGATCCAAAAGTTGCTATCAATCAGTAATTTACTTAATAATTAATTATATAATTATTATATAATTTCCTTATTTATAAATTAATTAAATATGTATGTAGCCATTCAAAAAAATTAAGCTGACATCCCTATTTGTCAAAAAATATTATTTAAAAAAAGTAATTATTAGCTTATAAATAAAAAAATGTATGTAATTAAAAGAAATCAAATATAAAATATATAAGTATACAGTGATTTTTATCATAATTCATTCATTGACTTACAGAATAAATATAATTAAAACATTTTTTTTTTTTGGTTATCATTAGTCATACATTATTTTTAAATTATTAACTATATAATACTTTTTTAGTTCATCCCTTATACCTTGTAAGGGTGTCAACTTTGTTTTTTATGACATCGATATTTGCAGGTACATAACATTGTTATTATCAATGGTAGTAAGGCACATTGTTGTGCGTTTATAAATACACTAACTGACAATACAAAAAGTATATATATTGATAGTCATAATTGGTAATGAACAATCCGTGACTGTGACAGCAATGTCATAAAAAACCAATTACATGCTTAATTACTACATGCATTTGTAATTTCTTGTGTATATTAACTCAAAAATTTGAAACTTTAAATGTTTATATCTAATAAACAAATTAATTTTTATTAAAAATTCAAATGCCATATACAGAAAATTTTCAATTTTTAAATTTGTAATTTTTTTAGAGATTTCCCCAATTTACGAGGAACGAGGGAATTTGTTCAATTTTTGAGTATAATGTCTTCGACTATATACAATTTGTGATCTTTTGACGTAACGTTGAAAGAAATTGGTTTGGTGAAAGCTGAATAAAAGTGATAACAGACACAAAAAAAAACACATCATAGTAAAACTAATATCTTCTCAGCTTCGCATCGAAGCTAAAAAATATTCTATAAATGTATAATGTCTAAAGTTTTGTAATATATAAAGTTTCAGAAAATTTCAATCAAGACTGTTTAGTCAGCTACAATTTTCGTTTTTTGTAAAAGGTCCGGTCCGGTCCAGTGCCAAAGTTTATTTAAATTAATGTTCCTGCTTGATTTATTATGGTCTACGTTTTTATAGTATCTGGTTCAATTTTTAATTTCATATAATAGTTTGGTTCATTTTTTTTTTCGTTCTTCATAAGGGTTCGATTCAGAACTCTACCAGTAATTATAGAAATATGTATAAAAAAAACAAATTTAAGTTTACTAAAATTTAGAATTAAGTTAACTTTAAAATAATAAAATATATATTTCTGATTAATAAAATGTTTATGATATTATTCATTTAATGATTATCAAATAGTTTTTATTGAATATTAATTTGTATTCTTATTACAAATATGTAAGATATTTTTTGAGCGTCTCAGATAATTTATTGTTATTACATAATGGTGTGTCAATAAATATTACTTGTTTTTTAAATAAATGCTTTAAGACAATATTTTAGTAAATAATTAATTTCTTCGTTTTACAACATTTTATTAATAATTTTAACTTAATTCCTACTAATATCATACACTTTAAATAAAAACTTTATTATTTTTCATTAATAAGCTTTACTTATAGTATTTACTTGTATTTTTTGACCATGTTACAGGATATTTAAATATTATTGTAAGAAGTTGTGTTTTTGTATAAAGATATATTTTTTAAAATTTATAACATATTGATTGTGTCATAAGATATTTACACCCAAAACTGTCTTTTGGTTTGACTAAACAATAACTAAATAAACAACATATTAATGTATAAAAAGTATTACTTATAGATTTTGTTTTAACTTGTGATAATTTTACATATTTTTATTTTTCATTTTTGCAATGAATTCTATAAAAAAGCTTACTAGTCCTATATTCATTAATGTAAAGTTTACATTACTGGTCACAATTTTTTTAAATTTCGCATCAGCTGGAACACAAGAAGAAAATAAAATTCAAGTAATATATTAAATATTTAAAAATATTAATAGTATAAATTATTTTTTGGTCCATGGTTAACCCTTTCGGGGTTTTTGTTGAAGTTAGGCTAATAATTATGAGTTTAGTTTACACACTTGTAAATTTATTTTAATTTTTACAATATACATTTTATTTATTATAATTAAGTATTAAACTTAACTTTAAATAAAAATAAATTCTTTAATTAAAAAAAATGTGAGTATTTTGAATATTTTACACTAGCTAATTCGAATAACATAACTAATACACCTCAGATACAAATCATATAACACAATGCATGAGAACTCAATTCCATTCTTTATTTCAACACATTCGCTCTATGGAGTAACATGTAATTTTGTGTTAATGATAATGAGTAAATTTTATGAAATTTTGCACATCAATAATAGATGTAATCTCATTTTTGTGCTTAGGGGATTGAATGGATTCTAAAGCAACACAACGAGTGTGTATACAGTAATGATATGCTGAAATTATTAAATAACATTGAAACAATGGAACAAATCGAAAATAATGAAAGGAAAGGTTATTACTTTGAAACTGAAGATTTTGAACTTTTGACTAAAAGATGCGGAGAAGACGCTGATTGTATGAATAAGAAATACAAGTCATTAGTAAAGTATAATAAAAAATTGGAATCACTACAATGTTTGAACGCAGCAATAGTAAACTATACGTTTACAAATATACAGTATTTAAAAAAAGGTAATACTAGTTATCATAACATAACAGCGCGAATGTTGTCTTTGTTATACAATGCCAAGATTCCAGCTCATAACTGGCTGTGGTCTTTCTATTTACGAATGGAGCCAAATAATGGTAGAGAGTTACCAGGTCTTGATAAATATTTCCCCGAAATACGTCTTCAAGACGATCTTATTAAGCATTTAGATTATTGTCGCACATATAAATATTTATCAGTAAACTTGGGAAAAGAAGCTGGTGAATTAAAATTTGAAAAAGATAAACTAAAAAGACTCTGTCGACAAATATATAATAACAATAGTAGTGATGACGCGTATTTATTAAGTATATATTCAGGAGTTGATCAATTACAAACACGCAACTTTGCATTGTCTAATGTAAATGAACACAAAGGCTTTTTGTTTAAAAAAATTGAAAAAATTGATTTGAATTGGGAAACTACGAAACTGATGTTGAATACAGAAAAATCAACAATTATTAATCAATTGTATGGTATTGAAGGATATTATAAAATTTTGGCTCAGGTAGTCAAAGTTAATGTATTATACTTGATCTGGAGACATTTTGTAATCGTGCAAAAGAGTCTTGAGCGATCTTTTGAAGACCCTGCTTTTATTCATTCATGTCGAAAAATTTCATTGTTTAAAAATTCTCTAAAAAAATCAATGAATACAATTTTTGAAATTTTGGGTGTCGAAGATGTTGTACTAAATAATATTTATCATATTCTTATGGTAGAAATTGCAGACTTGGATTTTAATAAAATTTTTAATAGAAAATTAGAATGGATGAATAGAGATTTAAAAAATATAATTTTAGAAGATTTATTAAATCTTGAAATATCAACTTATCAGGCCCAAGCTTTGTTAAATATTAAAACATTGCCATTTATTGTTAGCCAAACTGATTTAAACACATCACAATATTCAGAACACCTTGACCAACTTGATGAGTATTTAAATGGAATCAAATTAGTTTTTCCATCTTTTCCTCTGTTGGAATATTTTATAAATGGATATTCCTCTCTAGAGAAAACATTCTTTATGTATATATAACACAAAAAAGTTTTTAAATGTCTTTCAATATACTTCTTTAAAACTGAAAATTTTATTTTATATATTACTCTTCCCATTTACATAAAGTGATGATGCTTAAAAATAACTGTTAAATTCTAGAAAAATATTGTATTATTGTCTTAGTACAAATATTATTTAATAGTATTTTAATCTAATTGAGATTCATTCAATTCTTTTTTAATTATTATATCTTATGTACCATGTATACTAACATAATTTCGTATATAAATAAAAATAAATTATACAATAAATAAAAATGACATTATTTATTTATTTTTCCATTATAAAATAGAACAGAGTAGAAAATGATTTTAGAATATTACCGCTGGGCCTAAACCGATTATTTTAGGCCACGATATCAAATTCAAGATTTTATCACGAATCAATTATGTAATCTGAATATAAAAAAAAATGTTGGTCTTTTTAAGGTACATGTTTTTTTAAATTTATCAATAATGAAATAATTTTTATATTTATTCTTTATACTTTATAAGTGTATCGACTTATTTTTTAAAATTACTGAATAGATAATGGGCTAATTAAAATAAAAGGCTAGTCGATAACAACTTTTGTCTAATATTTTAGAAGTTTAGGCAGGAGGAAGATTGAGGCCGAGTAATTTTTAGTAATAAAAATAACAGTACTTGTCTTTTCTTAAAAAATAATTTCTTATCTTCCTTAAATATATTATTGGTAATATAATGATGATTGGTGGAAATGTTGGAATCAATCTTAACGTTTCTCCTTAAATATAGACTATTGATGTAGAGTTCTAGATTATTTTTAAAAAAGATTAAGCTAAATCGTCTACATCTTTGTTTTTTTTATTCATATTGATGTTTTGTTAGTCATAATATCGATAGAAAATGGAATAAAAAAAATACTAGAATATTGTTTTTCCTTCACTTTTAATTGACATTATCGCTACAAATATGGCAAAAACTTAAGTAAAAAAAAATCATAATAACTACTATATTTTTTATTCAAAGTATCTTAACATAAAAAGGAATAATACAGTTGTTGGCTCACAATTAAATATTCTGTATTAATGTATTAGTAAATCAAATATCATTAAATCAATATAAATGCGTATAGTTCAACACGCTTTTTTAGCACAAATATACAAATCCAAATTTTTAATTATAAATCAACAATAATTGAATACAAACTAATATCAAACGTGTGACTGAAAACTTACTAATTAACTAACTGTATTTGAAATAATACGCTACATGTACATTTATCAAGCAACAATTATATCAATAATAATGATAAACCACCGATTCGAAAACACCTCAATGGTCGGGGTACCCAGTATTTTCGCCTAAGTGGACACGACTTGCTTTTACTTAAACAAAGGACACAATATTCTGACAACACAAATGTAAATTTTATTACAACGAAATACAATATTACACAAACTATAGTTAACTGGTTTGTATGCAACCTGGTTACTTCAAATTCCCCGTAGACCAAGACCAGACACGCTTCTCCACACCATAAACTCGTGGATGGGCATCCAAATCCACCTTTGATATTTAAGTGACGATCACGGAACTCTAGTTGTGGGCTTTCAAGTTGAGGCACTCACCGTCCGTCATAGGATCGTCCCAGCATAGGTGCCAAACACATACTCGCCGGACGCCACGACGCGCAACAATTTCGATCGCGTTTACCGGTTGTATACAAGTGGCGCTACAAATGATCGGCGGCCAAACAAATAAATCATAACTATTGAAATAGGAACTTATGGACTAAAATAAAAAATTTTAATACTAAATTGACAATTTTCGTATTGCTTGTGTCACACAAATTTTATAGGGAAAACAAACTATAAAATGTAAATAATAATGATTTTGGTAATGTTAATTATTCATGATCAATTATGTTTTTTAACTGTAAACTTTATAATTCAGATTTCTAATTGGCAAAAAAATATTATTTAAACACTTAAATAAAAGAAAACTTGCTAAATTTTATGCTATACTATATCCACAAAAAAAATGTCTATATTATTATTTTGTATACAAGGTCGGCCATCATATAAAATTACGTTTTGATATGGTGACTATAACCGTCCAACATTCGATGATGAAAGGGAAAAGAGTAGACAGGATAGTAATGGCATTTAAATTTAAACACTGCGCAAACACAAATGAATTATAGTAAAAAAAATCAAATGAAGTAGTTAGTAGAAGTAGACTGTCAACCGTAACCCAATAGAGTAATAAGACGAAGGGTACTTAAATATAACCAGCACAAATTACTCTTTAGATCATTACCAAAGACGTGTCGTTTAGAGACCCAGCTGTATTTTTAGAGACACTCCTTAAGCCTTATAGTTATAAAAGTTCAATAATAACACAAACGTAATTATTAAAGATATAATTAAACAATATGAAACGAACAAAACAAAGATACTTTTAAAGTATAATAAACCAATACATAAAAGAAAAGACTTATTGTCAAAAACGTACAACATGAAAAGAGATTACCCATGAGGTTTCCGTGGTACTCTCCTCTTTACAATTCATTCCATTTCTTCTTATATACTAAAAATTTTGTTTTTCTTTTTACGAATACAAAGTTAATAATACAACCACTTTCAAAAATGTTTATAAATATTTACTTCCCACTTCTAACAATAGATCAGGAAATTACAATTATACAAAATATTACAAAAATGTTTTACTTCCAGCTTCAAAGATAATAGACTATATTACATATATAATCATGATATATTGAAAAAAAAAATTAGAATTAAATATTGTATATGAAAAGTGGTAATTTTTTTTTTTAAATATAATATTTTTTGAAAATTTCAACCTATTTAAATATGAATGTAAAATAAGTTTTAATTTAACATAAATTTGAAGTATTTCTGAAATATTTTCAAAAAATAACTTTTTGTGCAAAAATTTCGATTTTGAAACTCCAGTTGTGAGCAGGTAAAGGTTTAAATTTTCCATAAAAATATACCAAATGAAAGAAAAATAACTTAAGTGGTAGTAAAAAAATAAACGCAAGACAGAATAAACGACTGTTGACACTGAAGGAAGAAATCACCATAAAACCAACTCAGTCAATTACAAAAGGATATAAAGGTAAGTGCGAATATTTATTTGCATGCCTTACTTCTAAAAAATCACGTAATAAACAAGAATAGGAATAAGTGAGGTAGGGATATTTTATTATTTAATAAATAAATATAGTTCGACCCCGAGATACTACTTCATCTTTACCTCCTTTATCTTTTTATCTTTTTTTTTGTTTATTACATACTATCAAATCTATTAGCAAGTAGGTCATTAAATAAAAAATACTTAAGTAACTAGTTATTGATTCATTCATTTTTAAGTAGTTATGACTAACTAATAGTTAGTATAAAGTAAAAAAACGGTAGCACAGTGGGGTCGAGGCACAGTGTAGACAAGGCATAGATGGGACAAGTATAGATGATATTTGACAGTGATTTAAATCACTATCATAAGAAACGCTTCGATGCAAATCTGTAGATAGTATTTCATTTTAAAAAAAAATTTGTTAAAATAGCATATTTTTGAATACGGTAGCCGTTTGCGTATAGAAGATAGATCGTCGGGACAAATTNGAAATGGACTGATTTTAAAAATCGTAATTTTTTTTGGAGATTTATGGAAACTTGAAAAAAAAATTTAATTTTTGAAAGTAATGTCTTCAGCTTGATACAGTTTGTAATCTTTTAACGTATCATTAAACATAATCAGTCCAGTGAGACCTGAGATAAAGTAGTGACAGATACACACACAATAAAAAATATGTTTTAATCCATACAATTTTGAAAAAGTTATGGTAGTTTTAAGTAAAAGAAACGGTATCATAGTGGGGTTGCGGTACAGCGTGAATGTGGCATACTTAGGACAATTATAAATAATATATGACAGTGATTAAAAAAACTATCATAAGAAACGCTTCGATGCAAATCTGTAGCTAGTGTTTAATTTTTAAAAATTGATTATTCAAAAAGCAAAATTAACTCTTATATCCCGATTAGTAGTTCTTAGATTTAGAAGTATAATGTATGAATAAATATTTATTATAGCAATTTAATAAAGTATGAATTTGATATTTAATAATTTAGTATTGTAATTTTTACGGAGATTTTATAAAAAATTATCAAGTAGATATCACTTTTATAACGAATACGTTGTACTCAAAAAAAAAAATTGTTAGTTATTTATAAATGAATTTATTGGTCTACAAGAATTTTCATCAGTAATTAAAATACACTTTTCTATTTAAATGATTTATTACAATAAAAATACAATAAAATGTTGAGTTTTCCTGATAAATTTACTGTTAATAGTAATTATATAAGTTTCTAATCACATATCAATCTAAAAAATAGCATATACTATTCCACATAGAATTTTCTATTTAATGACATAAATTCTAAAAAATGAGCTAAAATCATGTTTAAAATTTAACATTTTTAAATTATAAACATTTATAAAAATCAACTTTAACGGATCAAAATAATAAGTTAAATGCCATTTTGAATTAAAATTTTGCATGGATTATTTACATATTAAAAATCAATAATAACTTGATAATAAAAAATTGTTTTAAATTCATTTTTATATGGATCTAATAAGTAATAATCTTAAAAAAGAGTTTAAAGAAAAAATCTAATTTTAGATTTGAAATCAGCATAAAAATTTGGTTTAATAATATATATGTATTGGTCTATAATCAAAAAAAAAAAAATGTATTTTGCTGTGTAATTCGGTATAAAAACGAATTATTAACTCCTATTAATTGTAAGATATTTAATTAAAAAAAGTTTTTTTGAAGTTGCTATTTTTTACAATAGAGTAATTTTGATATATTTGTTTGAATTTCTAAAATTAAAGGATTTCTTTCTAATATTTGGGGATAATAAATTCAACAAGATTAAAATCGTGTTCTTTTAACGTATTGGTCATTATATTGGTCAAGTATGAACTGAGAAAATTTAATGACTGACATGATAATAAACCATATAGTAATATATTTTAATATGTATAAGAAAATCCTTCTCAAAAGGGGAGACTAAATAAAGTGATAGGATCTTCAATATCCATTGAATATTTTTATTGAATGTTATTCACTATTATTAATTTTGAATTCTTTTTCTAACTTAAAAAAGAATTAATTAAAAATTCAAAAATAGTTATTTCAACTGGAGGGGTTCCTCGAGCGTACAAGACTGTAAAATATACTATGCAGCCACCGTACATTACGTATACGTATAGATAAAAAGAATTATTTAAACTAAATTAAAAATTCAAAGTCGCTTTTCTTAACTTTGAGGTAGAAAAATAATCAAAATAAGTTTGAATTTATATTGAATCGAAGTTAGACTCATGTAACTTTTATAAAAAATTGATGGACTCAGTACTAATGCTAACCCTTGTAAGGTATTTTAGAATAAAGAAAAAAAACTAATTGTGAACAAAAAAAAAATGTACTTTAAATACGGAAGCAATTTACTATTTCGAATCCCTCATGTGGGTAAGTAAATGTTCAAATTTAAAAAAAATTTATATCAAATAAAAGGAAAAAACCTAAGGTTTCAATATAAAAAATATTATTTTGATTTGTTAATATTTCAAAAATTTATAATGTTTTTAAGAAAAAAAATGTCGAAAATTACTGATTTTTGAAATTGTAATTTTTTTGGAGATTTCTCCCATTTAAGGAGAACGAGGGAAATTTTTCCAAATGTAATGTCTTCAACTAGATACGATTTTTGATCTTTTGACGTATCGTTGAAAGAAATTGGTCCAGTGAGAGCTGAGAATATGTGGCAACAGACAAAAAAAAAAAAAAAAACCACACTAAAGTAAAATACTTTTTCAGTTTAGCATCGAAGCTAAAAAATGTCATATATTAACACATGGGATAAAATTTACTTAATGTACGAATTTCTAAATAATTCATACGCGCAAAGCACTTATTTTATAAATATGTGTGAAAAAGTAATAAATGTTCAAACATATACCACAAAACTTATTAAGATTTTGTTATATAGACATGTTAAAGTAAAATAATTTTTTTTTAATACTACGCGTCAAAATTGTGTTATATTACTAACAACTCTTTGAAGATAGTCGTTAAAAATTGTTTAACAAGTGTTAAAACAATATTTTTGCATGCAAATTTTAAATGTACAGAAAATTGCGTCATCACAACGCAATTTTTTTTATAATTTCATATTTCATAAAAGTCATGAGCCTAAAAACACTACAAGTACACAAAAAATACTTTATAAGTTAAAGAAATGGTGTTGTTTTTATATTCATAAAGAATATTTATTCAAATGAGCGTAATAACTTATTTCAAAATCTGTTGACATATTATATGTACTCATTGTTTGATTAAATCATTACTACTTAAAAATGAATTTATTAATTTTTGTATTACTTTCATATTATTCCCTTGCTTTATTAATCTATAATGGAAGTTCGGAGAACTTTGTAAGTATGAAATTTTTCTATTTGTTTCATTAATATTTAAGATTTAGATTAATATTTAAAATTATCTATAATTTTAATTTATAGTTTGAAATAATAATTTAAATAAGGGGCCATTAAGTTTTATTTTCTAAATGTAATTAGCTAATATTTTACCCAACTTTGTGTATTTATGTATATAGAACGAATTACAAAGATATACTGAAAATCTAATACTCTAGATCCAACTGTTATTTTGATTTTTTTTTTAATTATTTCCATCTTAGACTACGTTCAAAGTATATTTTTAATATGTATCACTAATAAGAAACAAAATTAAAAGAAAAAAAACTTAAAATAGCTATATTTTAACCTTTTCCAACAAAAAATTTCGATATAAATAAGATTATTTTATTAAGTATAAGTGTATTTATAATCATATGTGTACATTAACGTAGAAAATTGTATACACTATTTTGAATCATTTCTAATGTACAAAAGTCCGTTAAACATTATTATTAGTGCACTTAGTACTACAGGAATATTTTTTGTTTTAGAAAGTAGCTATATATACTATTTAGTGTCACAAAAAACTAACATGAACATCTATTTATTATATAATGTACTTTTTATCATTAATAAAAAATTAAAAGTTTAAATTTTAAAAAAATTTTGATGAGCCGTTATCAATATTAGTAATCAATCAATTAAGTAATCATCTTATTAATGTAAATAATAAATAAAAAATATTCTTTTGATGTAATCCAAAGAGACAATTATTATTTAAAAAGAAATGTGTCAACAAAATGATAATTGGATCACATTAAAGTTTATGTTATGTACTATAAAATGAAAAAAAAAATTTGTCGTGACGACTTATTTTATGGTATAAAAATAGCATATTTTAAATAAATATGCTATTTTTGTGTTAAAATTTTCAACTTTAAATTGCTATAACATTTTGAATAATGTATATATCAACATAAATTTTTTTTTCTAATTACATTATATATACTTCTTTTATTTGACATACTTTTTTTTTTAATTGGACCATTTTTTTTTATACAGAGGGGGTTTAAAACTTAAAACATACGTATAAAAAGTGGAACTTTTTCAACTTTAATTTTGAATATGTTTCGGAAATACTGCGTCATTTAAATATATGTCAAATTAAAGTTTACAAATCACACTATAAGTTCAAAAAAAAAAAAAATTGTCCTTTCACCTTTTCTCCTATAAGAAAATGGTCGTCATATTTAAAATTTAAAATCAAAAAAATTTATTTTTATGTAAAAATCAATGTTTAAAATGAAATATTGTTATAATAAAATAACAAAATAAAAATACATGATAAAAATATTTGTAAAGGTTGTATGGGTATTTTGCCAAGGTTGGATATTTGGGGATTAGATCAAATTGTGAGCAACGAGGTTCTATCGGTGTTGAGGATTCCGAAGGTTTCTAGTCATCCAACGATGACTAGTAGATATAAAAATAATAATCGGAGTTGCATGTTTTAAAATTTAATCAAATTTTAAAAGAAAATTAAAATATTTTTATCAAGCAAAGTAATAATGTGTACTATCATTAGAAAAAGCTATATTTTAGCTATCGATAATAACATGAGCTTATGAAATGTTAGTCGATATAGTTTTCTTGTGGAGCAAAATATAAGCTTTTGTTACATAATATAAGTTTAAAAAAAAATTTGTCTCGACAACGTATTTTCGAAGGCTGAAGTTTTTTTTAAAAAATGTTATTTTCGTATGAAAAATCACTGTTTATTGTATTATTATAACTTTCTATTTCCATTTTTAAAAATCTTTTAGAAATAATAATTATCTATTAATAATAAAAAAATGCAAGTGTTAGTTATAACTATATTCATAGAGAATTTTTGCACATTTTAATGTTAATCCAATTTTTATATTAAAAGGAAGGCGGTGTTTATAACAAAAAAAAAAAAATTCTAATTGCCAATGGCTTATGGTTAATTACAATTTCAATTTTATGACTAAAATAGTAATTAACTAACGAAGATCGGAATAATATAATTAAGAAAGTTCACTATTTTTTTTTTTTGATGGACATAAATGGTGACAAAATATACAACTACTTTAAACTTTTTATAATTTCTCCATAAAAAATATAATATTAAATTATTGAACATTATTTTACAGCTTTATTTATTTACTTCAATGAGTATTTATTTATATGATTAAATAATACATCTGTATAATTTATTTGATTCATAAAATTTAAATAATCAAATTAAGAAAGTTAACTTTCTTTTTTCTTTTTGATAAATCCAAATTTACAATTTTGATACACGTTTGCCATAAAGATGACGGAGTATGAAACTATTCTATAATTTAGTATAATTTTTTCGTGCATATATAGCACAAAATATTGAATATAAATTTCACACTAAATTCAATTTTTTTCTATATTCTATTTATTCTTGTATGATATTTGTAAATCATAGACTTGGTATTCAAAATATAATTTAAAAAATAGGCGTTGATGTTGCTTTTGGAATATTTCAACAATTTCTTTTATAAATTAAACATTATCCCCGGTTCGCATAGTAGTGTTTTTTATAATAGTAACTTTAATCACTGTGTTATATTACCTATACTTATTTCTACTGTACTGCCTTTTGCTTAAACATTTGAGTTACATAATTTAAGTAATTTTTAATAAAACATTTTTTTTTTGTCTACTTTAGAAAGTGTGGATTATAAATTATTTATTATACATTGATAATTAACTAGAACTGAAATAATAATTTATATTGTTAAGAAAAATAGAATTTTAAGCGAGATTCATCAACTTACTTAATTTTATGTAAATTAACGTAAAACTTACCATACATTTCACGTTAATTATTTTTATTGTGAAATTCAACATTAAGCATAAAGGTTTAGGTGAAAAATTATTTAAATATAAAAATACATTACAAGCTTGATCTCTTTTTCGTAGTCTATTTTTAATACTACCAATATGTGTAGTTACACTTACATTTGTTTTGGTTTATTTAGTTGCTAATTGAATTGTTTAGTATGATATATTAGCCTAAGAATATATTTGACCAACTTTCAGCAACTTATTAGAAGTTTTATAAATCTACAAATTTGATTGAAAAATATAACTTTTCAAGAAAAATCTTGTTTATCAAATAAATTAAATAATATTATAAATAATATGTGGTTTTCACATTAAAATATTATAAAAAATAGCGCAAATTTATTGTTTAGAATAATCATATTAGAATTAAAAACTTTTATAAAAGTTACCGTATTGAAAACTTCCAATAGTACTTAATATAATTTGTCCAGAGTACTAATTTTTTGTTTATAAATATACAGGAGAATATATGGCTGTCTGAAAAAAATTATGATGCCACTTTTAGTGTAGACTTTTTAAAATTATTAAATCAAATAGAAACTTTGGAAACATCAAAAGAATTAACACATCTCGAAGAACATGATATAACTAACTTGACACAAGAATGTAAAAATAACAATGAATGCTTGGAATTAAAATGGAATTCAATATCAAAATACAGAATGAAAATGGAAGCGTTACAATGCCTCAATGGTATTATCATACAGTTCTTTATGAAATCTCTAAATATTATTTTTTTTAGAAAGAGAAATTCAAATTTTTATGGTGAAAATGCTTTTTACAATTCAAGACTGGTAATGGCAAGGATGCTATCTATATTATATATTGGCAGGACGAGTGCTCACAACTGGATGTGGATAGCTTATTTTAGAACGTTAGCAGCTGAAAATTGGATACAATATTATGACAATATGCAAGATGATCATTTTAATGATGAATTTCTTAATAGTGAGCTAATAGATTATTTAAAAATGTGCCAAGATAATGATTATCTACCGAAAACTCTTAACGAATCAGAAATTGATGTCAAAAAATACATCGGTCCAATAATCGATAATTGTTCAGAGAAGTTCTATGGACAAGATGTATCTATGAGTTCAGATTATCTGAAAGAAGAAGTATTTAAATATTCTAGATTGTTCCAAGTTGATAATTTTGTATTGAGAAGTATAATAGAAAGTGATGAAAACACTATTTTTGGTGAGCCTGATGGATTAATGTTTAATTGGGACGAGGTGACAAAACAGAAGTTATCCAAGGCTAAAATGCAATTACGACTGAATATGTCAAAATATGAATGGATTCGGGATCCATTTAAGTTCATTGAATATCAACAAATTATAAACTCTTTAGTACAATTTAAAGTGTATTTTTACATTTGGTTACATTTAAAAACATTCAAAGAAAATATAAAATTTGTAATGGCTAACATTAATTTGAAGACTTTGTTAGATACTATGACAAAATTGTATAATGATTTTTACACGCCATTGAAAGCTGCTACTTTATACTTAAATACAGATGATAAACTATTGTGGAGTTTAGTTCGACGTTTTAGCCAAAATATCGTTATAGTTGACCAAAATGTAGAGTTTATTATTGATCAAATGATGAAGATGACACAAAATGTAATTTTAAACCATTCAGACTTATTGGGTTTAAATAAAAACGATTTACAAAAACAACTCAATTCAATTGAAAGAGTCACATATATCTTTCGGAGGTCGTCAGACAAAAGAACTCAGAAATTAATAAATGAACGTATAAACTATGTTGTCATATACCTTGACAATGTTCAAATGTCTTTAGAACCTATTAATTATTATTTCATTAAATTTTTCTATAACGGTAATTCTAACTTTAGAAATACATTTTACTCAAAAGTTTGTTAAAAGCTTAATTATCGATTGATAGTTAAACTTTATTTTTACTTGTATGAATTTAATACATGTCATACATATCATTTAAAATACATATTTTAATTGAGAAATAATACAATTTTTAAGCAAAAAACATTTCTTAAGTAATAATAATCTTGGTACTTATCGAACCTCTATTTACAGCTATATCGATGTGTAGTAAACATTTTTTTTGACTTGATTTGAATTAGCGATTTCAATATGTAAATAGCATTTTTTATATTTTATATATCTTTAATATTCTAATTGTTGTAATAAACAAAAAGAATAATAGATAAGACGGTAGGAGGAGAAGGGTAGGGAGGGACGCTTGTAGTAAACAAAAAGTAATACAGATGTTTGGAGTAGGGAAGGAAAAGAGATGTAACGCAGGTGGCCAATGAGGAAATAAGAGCCGTAGCGGGCGTAGTATAAAGAAGGATGGGCATCAATGGAAAGTAAGAGTGGCTATAGGTACCGGGCAGTGACTATAATAAAATTAAAAAGAAATCTCGGGGTATGTATGATTGCGTGAACACGTCTAATATATGACTAAGATGGAATTACAACGAAGGGTCTCTACATGCACAGAAACGCGTACACAAATTTCTGGCGAGTCACAAATATCGTATTTCTTTGTAAAAGTATTTTAGTTTATTCTCGATGACCTATCTTACTTTAATTGTTTATTACTAAAAATTCTTCAGTAAAGGGTTTATTACACACTTATTATATAAATAAATGTTTTCACTTACCTCTGATTATCCTGATAAGACAGATATTTTCTTGAGATGAATCGTGTAGTTGATGTCACAATTATCGATATATACGTATATGCGTCGGTGTACGCATTTGAAATTATACGATTTATGTTATTATTAACTGGCGTGTAGCTACTCTTCTAGTACAATTCTATATAAAATCTACTAAAGGTGAAACCTAAATTTATTGTACCTCTGGTATTTTATGTAAAACCCTTTTGTATATTTATATGGTATAGTCTTTAACCTTATGTGTGGTGTTTTACACTAATGTATTTAAAATTCAATAATTTATAAAACAAATAAAGAAATTCTAAACAACATGACTGTCCTGTGCAATGAACTATTTCCAAGTGGCCTACGTCTTTTCAGCCATCCACAGAGTGATTTAGGGTAGATGCTACCTCAATTTCGGTTCTTTGCACAATAGATTATACGAGTGTCCTACACTCCGATGGCCCGCACTGTGGCAGAGATCAGACTGGCTGGTCGACAAGTGGAGAGACACTTTGGAGAAATCTTATGGTTAGCTAAAAGTTTAATTACGATATTATTGTACTGGTACCTTGTCTAGCCAGGCTATGGCCCTTCAATAAGTAATAGATACAATTCAATCTAATTAAATATCTTAGAATGTGTAATGTGTATAATAAAAAAAAATATGAGTAAGTAATGCGTTATAAATTATGTAAGTGTCCTACACTCCGATGACCCGCACAGTGGCAGAGATCAGATTGGCTAGTCGACAAGTGGAGAGACACTTTGGAGAACGCTTATAATTAGTTGAAATGTTAACTATGATGTCATTGTGCTAGTACTCTGTCCAGCCAGGTTGTGGCGCTTCAATAAGTAATAGAACACAATGCAATCTAGTCATGTATTTTTTTAAGTGTATATATATATATATAGATAAAAAAAAAATAAATACCAATATTTTATATGTGTTAGAATATTTGTATCACCAAAAGTATTCGACCGAAAATAAGATGTATAATATTTCTTGTAAATCCCAGTGAACACGAGAGGAATATAAAAATTGTGGAGATTTGATATGGAATTGTAACTAAGAGCAAAACATACACTTACGCACATTCCATTCGTATATCTTGATTGAGAATTCCAGAGAGCCTTAGAGACGCAGAGGCAGAGTGGCAGAGCGTCCCAGTATCAGCGAAAGGGATGTTCAGAACCACCCTACATAACCACCCGAATTTGGGGGAAAATGGACTACTTATAGCCCGCAAAACTGGTTTAGCAATCTCTGGTGAGATTCTTGAAATATTTTTTGTTGTATTTGATTGGTTAATGTGATCTTTTACGTGTGCGTTTTATGGAATGCGTACGAGGGTAGTTAAATCTTGTGTAAGGGTATTATTATTTCATTCATATTATCAACGGAAGAACACTGATTTGATGATATATTTTATTAAGTATAAGTATTAATTATTACATGTATTAAAATGTGATACTACATTGTTTTTTTTTTCAATATACAAGATGATAAAATAAGATTAAACACTCAATTTCTTGAAAATTACTGAAAAATTTTATTTTTGTAATGGAAAAAAAGTTTGAACAAAAAATCTACAATAATATGATGTAATTTTTTTTTGTTACTTCTGGCTTAAAAAACTGAAACTTAATTTTTTTTATGGAAACTCTTATTTTAAGTTGAATAACGTGAAAGANCTTAAATTTTTTTATGGAAACTCTTATTTTAAGTTGAATAACGTGAAAGAAAAAAATTTCAAACTATAATAATATTTTTTATTTGATAAACCATTCTTCTATTATCTCGTCAATCATTTGCATTTAAAAAACATTTAACAATTTGTATTTAAAATGGAAATTCATAATTAATTTGATTTTGTTAATTCCGGAGATATCAATAATCTGTTTTTATACTATCTGTTTATAATAATTTATAAATTATAAACGGTGTTTATTCATTTGTTTTCCTATCCTGTCATTAAACTAAAAATAGTGGTTGCCGTCAAAGGAAATTAAAGTTTAAGTTTTTAACCCAAAATGTATGTGAGGTCCCCAGGGAGCTGGATCTGAGATGGAGCCCCAGCTAGACGAAGCCTATTATGCAGGGTGATTCATTAAGGATAAGACACTCATTCTCTCGATAACTATTGAAAATTTTTAATTTTTGATAAGGAAAAAATATTGTTTAATAATCCGAAAAAGTAATTTAGTGATCTCTAGTAAGATTTTTTAAATATATTTTACTGGATTTGATTGGTTAAGTTATAGAATATTTTTGTGGGGTTCTATGGAATGCATAAGAGGCTAGTTGAATTTTTTGTAAAAGGGTATTAATAATTTTTTTTAACTTGCCAACGAGAGAACATTTTTTTATTGAGTATATATACTATTTATTACATGTATTAAAAATGTGTTAATACAAGCAACATACATATTTAACTAATTCATATAATAGAAAATTGTCCCAACAAAGAAAATGACTGGTCGATAACAATTTTAGAACCAGTAATTTTGGAGGGAGATTATTGTTTCCACCAAACTGAATTCTACCTGTCTATCTATTAAAAAATTTGAGAACTATTTAATTTTTTTCATAGGTCACTACGAGCCATGGATTTTACAAGTAATTTAAAGTATTATATAGATCTTTCATATATAATTTTTTGAGCAGAAGTCACAATTTTGTTATTTTAATAGTCACTAGAATATAAATTTTATTTTATTATACCAAACTAACTTACAAATTACTTTTTTGTAAATATCATGATTTTTACAATTATAATAAATTTTCTAACAGATATAATAATTGTATTCAAAATAACTTTCAAAGCACTAATAAACATCTGGTTGGGTATAAATCAAAATACTATTAAACTGGCATAATAATTATTAAATTATTACACAAGGTATATTAAAGTAAAATATGTATTTTGGTTTTTGTAAAAATTTGTTTTTCGTTTCTCAATACGTCATGAAGGTATTATTAAAAAAAAAGTTGTATTACTCAAAAAGATAAAATCAAATCGAAAATTATATTATTACGTATTTTATATTTCAAATAACATTATTAAACTATATAAAACTTATAATATCATAATTTTGTAATTTGTAAAAATTATCATGATTAGATTTCTTAAATCAAACCGAAATATAATATTTTTTATAAATTTTATTATTTTGTACTTTTTTCAAAACACGAATGGAAATGTGAGTATAATAAAGAAAAAAATATTTTAATTTAATAAATTTGTTTTAAACTATTACAACTAAAATATTTATTTTGTGATTAAATTAATATAATATTTATAACATATCAACACATTTTATATAAAATAACTATATACATATAAATTTGAATTTTATATTTTGTTATTAATTTGTATCATTATAGTATGATTTTATAAAAATCTATTGAGGATTTTTTTTTAATTACAAAGTGTAATATTATAACGTGGTAAATAATAATCTTAAAGTCATTAATAATAAATAATGATCCGTTTTACATTCTTCTATTTCCTGAACTTAACATGCTACAGAAGGCGTTAGGGAGTCAAAGATGGTTCTTGGCTAAGCCAATGATGAACAGGACGGGTATCAATGAGAAAATCACAAGAAAAATCTCGTTGGCACTCTGAGAATAGAACCTGGGACCCCGTGAGCCAAAACATGTTTTTACCCACTAGTCCAGGACGATGCTTAATAATCTTAAAACTATTACTTATTAAAATTTATAATATTAATAGTGTAGTAAATTAGAATATTCATATTTTTAACACGCTTATATTAGTTACACGTGTATGTTGTTTGTTGTTTGTCGTTTGTAAGTTTGTAACTCCACGCGGCACGTGTTATTATGTCGCGTATCCCGTCGTGTATGACCTTGAGACTATACTGTTGTAACGCATTCGCCCCACCCCGCTCACCACTCGTAGAGAACAATATTTTCCAACCCGTAGACGCGCGCTTATCATCAATTATATATATATTATATAACAAATTTTTATTGTAATTGACACAGCCCCGCGTTGTTTTACGCCGCGGTGCAAAGTCCAGCAAGTGCCGCACGGCCGACGACGTCCCGCCGCTAATGATATCGTAGTCTTTTTCCTGTTTTCAAAGTGACATCGTCAACAAACTGATCCGCACTCGCGCACCGTCGTCATCTACGCTGCTAACCTAAAAGTGTCAGACTTTCCGGAACACTTTCAAAAGTTAAGTTGAAAAAGTTCTACTTTCTACATGCATTTTTTAGATTTGAACCCCCCTCAAATATAGGCAAATGATCCGATTTAAAAAAACAGTATGTCGAATAAAAGATGTATATAAATACTACTTCTTATTTAATAATCAACCTGATACCGGTTTTCTAAGAACTAGCTATATAGATGTTATCTGGTTTTTCAAACCGAGATTGAAACCAATACCATATATAACCAAGAATCGGTTTCTAAACTGATACCAATTATTTTTCAAAACCAAGACATAAAACGAAACATCAAACATATTAAACGGTTTCAGTCCCTTTTAAACTGTGATGTTTAGATAGTAATAAATATAGTTTAAAAAAACTAAAAAACACGCTTTTAAAGCACATCGAACTAAAAAGTTAAAAATAATTTTTAAAATTAACTTAAAACAATAATGAACGAAAAATACTAGTATTATTGTGAAAAAAAGCGTGGGTGCTTTATGCCATATTTTTTGTATATTGAGCGCCTGACGTTTAACCTATGGTAGTCGCCGCACGGTCTCCATTCACCGTTGTTCTTTTTTACTAGTTTTAATGGGCTGGCCCACGGACTATTTGAAGGTCGGCATATGCCCTGTTCCACTAAATATGCAAATTCTTTTTTTGCGATCTCTATAATACTATAAGTTTTCGGAAAATGTATGAATTAGTTAATTTTTTTTTTTTCATAGATGCTTGATGACTTTACCTATCATTTAGCATATATTTTTTATAAATCTAACCCTTTTAAAATGCATATAGAAAGTAGAACTTTTTCAACTTAACTTTTGAAAATGTTCCGGAAAGACTGACACTTTTATATATAACTTAAATTAAAACTTATGTAATATAATTTAATTTAAAAAAAAAAATTTGACCTCTGGAATTGTCTTCATAGTGAAAACGGACATTAAAGTTAAAGAAAAACGTACGATTTCCGTGAAAAATTTTCGATTTTATATGTTATATTATTAAATTTATATTGCTATCAGTTAATTTTTTTTTTTAATAGATGCATGATGACTTTACCTACCATTTGGCATATATTTTTTATTAATCTAACCCTTTAAAAATGCGTATAGATAGTGGAACTTTTCAACTTAATTTTTGAAAATGTTCCGGAAAGACTGACACTTTTATATATATCTTAAATTAAAGCTTATATAAATTACTTTAATTTGGAAATAAAAAATTTGACCTCTGGATTGGTCTTCATGGTAAAAATCACTACCGTATTCAAAAATAATCTATTTTTGTGTTAAAATTCTGGGGTTTGTATTTTATTTTATTTTAAAATACCTGACAAGGAGAGTACAGATTTTTATAAATATTATATAAATAAAAAATTAATGTAGCATAGAAAGTTAAACTTATCTAAATTTTTTTGCTTTTTGAAGTCGAGAAAATTAACTTTGAAATTTGAAATAGCTTAAATAGCCATTTTTTTCAAGCAATGGTAACGACGTACAGTTGCCGTGTCGGTAAAATATTTGTTTTATTTGCTTGGGGTACAAGGTTCCAATCCGCGTATGCCAAGAAAATTTTTCTTAATTCTTTTTAAGTTAGAATAAATATCAACTGCTTTAATTTTTATCTCATTTAGATTCAATAACTTCATTAAAGATCAAGGATCCCATCACTGTAGTCGCCACTCGCGAGAAGAAATTTTTTATTATTTTTAATTAAACTTTATCTATAGATTTGCATCGAAGCGTTTTTTATGATAGTGATTTTAATCACTTTCAGGTATCATTATACTTGACCCAACTATGCCACATCCCCACTGTGCCGTGACTCCACAGTGCTGGGTTTATTTTAATATTCACAGCTATTACTTGGTTATAGTTAATAATGTAATAATTTGACTAAAAATTATTTTGTTATGTTTTTTAACTTATAAATATTATTATTTATTACTATAAACTAAGCTTAGCCTAGAAGAGAAATCAATAATAAATGTTAATAACGTTTAAGCTTAGACTAGTTTCTATTAAACATCGTATTAGAAATTGATACATATTCTTGTTTTTTTCATATTTTTCTTTAGGTAATTCAATGGATATCACATTTCAGAGTTGAACCAATTTATAATGTAAATATTTTGAAACTTTTGAATGAGATAGAAACTATGGCAGACTTCAACCCAATCTTAAAAGTTGTAAAAGCTGATCGATTTAGTATTGAAGATATTAAGTATTTGACAGGAAAATGCTATGACTCTGCTATTTGTTTAAAGAATAAATCGATTTGTATTGACAAATATAGAAAAAAAGTCGAAGCTATGCAATGCATGAACGCGGCAATAATAAAAAGCCAAGTGAAATCTGCTAATATCTTGTTTTCAGATGATTCATTTACTGAAATTGAATCAGATAAGTTTATTAAAAATATTGAGATATTATTAGCTACCATGATTTCGTTGCTGTATACACTTAAAGTACCTGCTCATAGATGGCTTTGGACATCTTATTCTTTAGTAATGACTCGTAAATATCAAAATATATATCAGCGTTTAATTAAATTAAATGAATTTAAAATAGACAATTACTTTTTAGAAGATTTAACACAACATTTAAGACTTTGTAAATTGTACAAATATTTACCGAAAAATTATGATATTGAATCATCTATAAAAATTGATGAAATACTTATTCAGTATCAATTGTTACTTTCTTACAGACTTTTTAGTGATAGTTGGGTTAGTTTAAATTTACTAGATATGAGTTTTTTTGACAGTAAATTAGCAGTTGATTTTTTGGTACCTAATATAGATGAAAGTTTGTATTTTATAGATATTGGCGTTAATTGGAACAACGCAATATCATTGTTACGAATAGAAAGAAATAAAACTATCAATCAGCCTTATGATTCAGTGAATTACTATCATGTTTTGATTCGCGTTGTTAAAGTAAATGTCCTCTATTTAGTTTTAAAACATTTGATAATACTAGAAAAAAGTATTTATTATTATTCCGTCACTAATCCTACTATACAAAAATTCTATAGTTTACTCAGACAACCCTTGAAAAATTTTATCAAAAAATATGGTTTAATAGATACCGTGTTCTGTAATGTTATAGAAATATTTCATATTGAAATTAATGATTCTAGATTTAATGATAAATTTTACAATCAATTGAAAGAAATTAATGAAGATCTGAAAAAAATTATAATGGAAGATTTTCTGGAACTAGGCGTAGATACATTTCAGGCTCGAGCTTCATTAATGTTTACTAATATGTCAGTTGTTAAAAAAAACACAGATTTAAATCAAAATCAATATAAAAAACACATAAATCAACTTATAAATTACACATTTGAGTTAAATAGTCATTTTCCTTTCTTTCATATAATAACATTTTATACTGAGAGAAACTTTAAGCTAAATCAAACATTCCATATGTGGAAAATATTATAAAATTATTTCCTTCAAGATTGAAAACTAAAAATATTTCGTTATTTATTTTAATTTAAAAAATAAAATAAAATAAAATAAGAATTAATGTTCATTTATGAAAAACATAAAATTCTATGCTGTACTGTGGTAAATAATTTGATATATAGATTAATAAATTATGATTGAAAAATTATCATTAAAACACATTGTTAAATACTAATAGTAGATCATTGATAATACCTTCTAATTATCAATAGTCTTACTGGATTTTTAGATATATGAATTTCTATAGGAATAAGAAATCAACGTTCTAATTACCTCTATATATTTCTTAACTCTAATCACAAAAATATTCTTGCATTTGTTATTTTTGCTATTTCCAACACATAGCCTATAAAGCTTGTTGATATTCCTTAATTTAATAAACTATAATTATATTTTCATGTTTTCACCGCTTTAACTTTTTAAAGACTAGTTGAGTTTAGCATATAATAATTAATTAAATTATTTAACACATATAAGGTGATCAAAGTCTAATAAGATACTTATTTCATCAGAAACTATTGAACATTTTTAATTTTTGTAAAGATATAAAATATTAGGTTTAAAAATCTGTAAAACAATATGTATTTAAATTTTTTTTTCATCCGTTCAGGGAATCTTTAAATAATCTTTAAATTTATTTTCCTACAATCACACTGTACTTTAGGAAACATATTTTAACATATGAATTATATGGTGGTACTTTTATAAAATTATTTTCATACAGTGAGTAATGGATGTACCTCGTTTGCTAGTAAAATTAAATTATTAAATTAATTAATTAGCGCTTTACAGTAAATCTTATAATATCATAAGTTTTTGTTAAAACCCCTTCATTATAAGAAAACTAACATATAGATTATAAAGTAGAGGATGTACAGCTTCATATTATTTTTTTAGATAATCATATTTACATAAAAATGATAAATTGTCTCAAAAACATTTTGTCTATTTCCTTGCTAATGCTACACAGATGAATCCTCATTAATAAAGTTATATCCAGTATAAACAACGCAATCTAGAAGTATTATTTTTGTAAAATAAACTGATAAGATAGTTTTAAAGTTATCCATAAGATGGCGATGAATAGACATTTATTTGATTATTTGAGCTCAATTTTTTTAAATACCTTAAATAAAAATCCTATTTTTCAAAATAAAATAAAATTTACATAATTTTCAATTATTTATTAGATATAGTAGTAACTAATGAACATAATTTATAAAAAAATTGAATAAATACCCATTTTATTTAAATTAAAAAACTTAATAAATAACATATATAATATGTATTTCATTGAATACAACTGTGATTGAATATAATTCATTTAAAATATAAAAAATATTGATAATTTAGTAAATCTAAATTTAATTTCTTTAAATTATTTTAATATATTCAGAGAATTAACAGTAATTTATATTATTTGAAGCAATCAATGATAACATATGGTATAAAAATATTAGATAATATTTATGGTATTCATTGAAATAAAATAAAAATAACTTTTGTTATAACCCGAAAAGAATTAAAGGGAATAAAAATAATATATATTAGAATATAATAAATTAATATAAAATAAAATATAATGGAATAATATGTGGTTGAATAATGTATGACAGAAGAATATATAAGGGTGTGAATGGTGTAATGATATAAATAAAAAGGAGTTTTAGAAAAGTGAGTAAAGGGTAGCTAAGCACATAAGGGTAATGGTCAAATAAATAAAGTAAACACAAATGTTTATGACAAAATAGTAGATTGATATTAGGGGTCAACAATACTGAACAAATTATGCTAAATATCTTTTAAAGATTTATCATTTATCTTAATGGTTTATGACGTTATAGATTATTTATGATTTGAAAGTTTGGATTAAAATTGTACTTACCTTATATTCTATATCACGTAATAATATTTTAAGTAATATAACGTTGGTTCTGTGTATTAAATGCAATGTGTATACATTACACGTTGTATAGTCAATGTACGAAAACGATTTAATTTAAAATAATACGATTTTATTACACAAAATTATTCACTAATTTATATGTAATAGATTCTATACAGTCTGTATTTTTGATTATAAATATAATTTAATAATTTACTCTTATTTAATTTTTTTTTGAATAAGTATCCTTTTAAGAGAGTATATTTTATTGAGAAATCGACACACTTTTTAAAGCTTCCTCTGGCCTGGCCAAAACAAGTTTCAAGTATATTTATATCTATGTAATAATTTTATCAAGGCGGTATTGTGATGACCAATGTGTCGGTGCTGACGCATTGAAAGGATGCGGCACGATAATCTCCAAGACAAAAATTAAACACTTAAATTATATTCCTAAGTTTCTTTGGGTAGTCTGCCGGTGCGATGTTCGTTAAAACAAAGACATTAGCAACGTGACTAGCTACCCAATATATTCACAATAAATATTACCATTAAATGAAGAATTAAAGTTGGTCTGGGTTCATTATAAAAATAAAATAATTTTAAAATGTTTGAGGTTTAAGATAATAATTGTCATTTATTTCTATAATAAGAAAAATAAAACATTATTATTTAATGAACAAAGAAATTTAAAATAAAATATTCACCACAACAAAACTCACTTTATATTTATTCTATTTATTTAAAATTTTCAAAAATAAAACTAAATGTTTTTAAATTTAAAAATATTAAGTATTAAAATAAAAAAAAAACTAAGTTTCAGAGAGTGAGTATTTTGAGTAGTATCGTAGATTTAGTGTATTTTGAAATTACCGAAAGAACTGGTTTTGATGGGGAAAAATGGCTTTTTATAGTCAGAAGGGGTAGTCTAGCGATCCCTAGCGTGATCTTGGAAGCTGTAGATGTTAATTAATTGTTAAATTCGATTGGCTGGACTTAATTGAGAACCTACGTATAAGCCTTACTTTAAATCTTTACAATAATCAGATTTAATTCCCTAGTTAACTGGTTATTTTGTGTTTTAAAGAAGGGAACCCTGTTTTGGTGATCTTTTATATTCTTAATATGTTATATACATGTACAAAAGATAATATCATATAACATCCTAATATTATAAATAATAACATAATATTACACTATTAATACGACCATCAAATTTATTTTGAGAGTACCTTGAATTCATAAACTAAATTTATGTATGAAGAGTTAAAAGTCATTGATTTTGATAAATTAGTGTCCTAATGCATTTTATAAATGGATTTTAAGCTAAAAAAGCATTGGTTCATGTACAGTCATAATTATAATATATGGCTTAAAAAAAATAAACGTTATCGAAGGAAGAACCCACTATACGTGATTCAAAGTTTCGAGTGGTTCCATGCGATAGCGCTTCCGTCAGAAAGATTAATGGAAGCGTGGTCTGCAATCAAGAACATCCAATGACCAGTTGCAAATGGTTTTTAAGTATAGACCAGTGGGCATGCAAATGATTGGTAATGGAGAAACAACTGTGCTTCAATTGTTTAGCTCTTGGGTATTGCTCCATGGTCCACTGTGAGGCAGCTTAGTGTCCAAAATGCAAGGGTGAGCATTATAAACTATTACATCGAAATCCATCTATGACTACTGTAAGAATATCTGGAACAGATTCACATGTTCAGAAATCACAATCATATTAATCAAATTCCTGGTTGTAAAACCATCCCCTATATTATTGCCAACAGCTGTCATACTTGTCAACGACTATGTAACTCATTTAGTCAAGTTCGATTATTATTTGATAACGATTCACAATGTAATTTTATATTTGCTGGCTAGTAAACAAATTGGTTTTGTCCAAAAGTCATTCATCTACTCCAGTCATGGAAATATCCAATTCAAATTATCAAGTATCCTCAGTGGCTGTCCACTGAGAAAGAATAACTTTCGTAATCGGAAAGAATAACTTTCCGATTACGACAGAGTTTTTAGTTTTAATGAAAATCATAGACTAGTTATCACCTTAATGTGTTAGATTAAACACACAACTACCGATTAGGCTCAAATTGGTTGGTTTAACCTTCCGGTCACTAGATTAAAATGACATACTTATTGAAGCAAAGGTATTCTTCCAATTTCTTTGTGTTGGTCAATTTTGTTGAGGTACACAACCACTAATGTATCAAAAAACCCTATTCTGAAAACTTTCAAACCTTGTGATTGATTTAAAAAAAAAGTATAAAATCTAATGTAGATCTTAAGTTATATCAGTTGTCAGTTAAATCTTTTTAAAAACTATAGTATTATATAATTATAATTAATAATAAGAAATTATTATTTTTAATACAAGCTATGCTTAAATAAGGTTTGCGGACTAATATAAACAATGTTTTTAATATTTTAATTTTTATAGTATACCATCTGCAAATATAAATAAATAAATCGTATTTTGACTATTTAGTAAGATTTTCAATTTATCCATTCTAAATAATATTATACCAAAATTAAAAAAGCCATAGTGTTGAACAATTGATTTCAGTTTTCAAAAAAAAAAAAATCAATTAGAAATTTAATAAATTATTTTCGTCTTATAATTTTTTTATTGTATAAAATCTATTATGAAATATTATTTTAGATAATTAATTATTTATAATTTATTTTTAACAAATATTATATTATTGTAGAAAAGTATAATATTTATATGGTAAACTAATTAGAGATTTCACTTAAACTTTAAAACATTCATAATATCAATGACCGTTATATTTAGTTTTGACGTGATTGCAAGGCTTCGTCCAAAATGATTTTAAAGTTGAAAAATTATATTTACAAAACTTTTTTATACAAACACGAATCCTGATTGAATGTTGTTGTTTATTATGTGAAGTTTATATGCACGACTAGAAGGAGTATTCAGCCTCTTTAATTTACAATATAGCTCCCCAGAAATTTGACTAAATTTCACTAAATTTTATGAATTGTTTTATAAAAATTAATTTTCGAAAGGGGAAAAATTAAATTTAGCATATCAAAAAATTGTCCTTCTTACCAATCTATGTTTGATTTAATCACCCCCTTCTAAAAATTGGTTCCAGCTATGGCCTAGTGCGTTTGTGTAAATATTTCCATAACAACAATGTCATTTAATTTAAAATAATAGTTTTTTTTATTTAACAATTTTTAATACTTTTGTTAGTATGTTTTCGCTTCATCTCTCACTTTTTTTATGTATAATTATAATTGTAAAAATATGTTTTTGTGACGAAATAGAGTGGAAATGGAGTTTGAAGAGAATAGGACGAATGGTAAACGGATTGACAGTAACAAACGACGATAGAGAAAATAATTACCCATATATAGTTGGGATAAGATCAGAATTGGACAATGGTCGGGATGGAATTGACATAGTTATATGTGGAGGAACAATGCTTAGTTCTCATTTTGTTATAACTTCTGCACAATGTGTTATAAATCCTTACAGTATAAAAGTAAGTTAATCAAGATAACTTAAATACAATTTTAGTAAAATTTATAATTTAACTATAATATATAATAGTTCCGTAATGTGGCACAGTGGACACTTCAGAAGTTGTCAAGCTCTGAAGTTAAGCTTCACCTGCCATTATAAGTTTTTGGATGGGTTACCTAATGTCAATTTCTATTGTGGCAAACACTATGTCTCTTAGTAAAGAAGGCTAGTGGAAACCACTGTAAATAATAATACCCTAAGATACACTAGTCGAATAATTAAAAATTGGCCGGTGTTAACCATCTAAACAATAGAAAAAATAAGTATATATATATAATGTATAACAGTAAAGTAAAAAAAGATATATCCATTAAGACATTTTATACAAAAATTATACTTAAATTTTTTTTTTTTTGAGGTGTACGTTAAAAATTTTACAACAAATGATGAAAGTACAGCATCTTATTCTGTGAAACTCAATTTAGAAGAAGACACTGATACCTTACCAAATCCTATTTTTTATGGAAGTAGGATGCTAAGAAACTATACATGGATAAATGAATTTACAACGCCATTTGGAAGAATTAAACATAACCTGAAGCATAATATAGCTCTTTTATATTTTGATGATCCGATTCCAGATACACAAAATTACACATTTCCTAAAATTGATGGAAATCCCCGAATTTTTTTTAATAAAAATAACAACACTAAATCTAAAATGTTTGGATGGTGTTCCACGAATAATAAAACGGAAGCAAAATTATCAGATCCAAAATTAATGTCAGTAGACCTAGCACAGTTGTTAATATGTACAACAGATCCACAGTTTGTTAAATTTAACTTATAATAACTAATTAAGTAGTAGAAATTATTTTCGAAATCAGTCATTTTATTGATTATTATCAATTTATAGATTATCATATTTCTTGTGTGCTAATGAGACCTCAAATACATGTGACAAAGATGAAGGGGGTCCAGTAATATTTTTAGATAATAGTCAAAGATCCCAACCTCTTCCCACTATAAGTGAGTATTTTCATTCATAGTTTTTTTTTATACCATTACTAAAATTTCAATGAAAATCGTATATCAATACAGTATTGAGTATATACAAAATATATTAATATATAGACATCTATTAAATTTTAGTATAACAAATGTTTTGCCTTACAACGTCCAAAAAATAAGTTTTTTATATTGAAAAATATATATTATTTTATCAACTTTAAGTAAATAAATGAGAATTTATGCATAATTATTAGAATAGTCTAAGAATGGCAACTCAAATTAAAATTAGTTTGTTTAAACTACAATTTTCGAAAAAGAAAACTTTGATGTTATTATTTTTTAAATTCCTTTTAAATATACCCAACAGTAGCTGAAACTAAAGTTTTAAGAATTTTGGTTGATTTTATTATAGTACAATGAACTTTCATAATTAATTTTTTTTTTTAGTAATTTATATACAACAGATTAAATTCAAACCCATACTAACAGAACTTTAAAATAAAAAATTAACGAAATTAATATTTTTTGATATAAAAAAAAGAAGAATATACAATACTTGAGTCTTTGGTCACTGAACTAATATTTTATATAAATTAAAAAAAACCCTTTTAGTTATATAGAGAAGGTTATCAAAATATATCTTAACAATAACTTTTTGTGATTCGAACTATAAGAAAAGGGATATATATAAATATACAGGTAGGGACATATTTAGGGGACGAGTGGGTGGTATCGTCCCGGATGGAAATTTTTTTTGGGCAGAGTTTTTTCGTAACCATAATATATAAAATAAAGGGTATGTAGAGGTCGCAATAAAACTTTACCTGGGGCGTCAAAATTCTAAATACGTCTCAGTTTATAGAGTTATACCAAATCACTATAAAAAATTTGGATTTGTCAAAACCTTATAGGACATTTTATACATAATGGAATAGATCTAATTGTCAATTCATATAACTTTTATGCATTTCTGAGAGTGTTATTCCTAGAGCGTATAATGATCAGACTCTATCATCAATAGTAGTACCTCTGTGTGCTGCTGGTAAGGACTACACATGATACCATATCTCCCTCAATCGTGCATTACGTCATCAACCATTATGGAAATGTATTGAGATGTGAATCAGTATTGCAAGTTGATCTAAACATAAGATTTGCCTCCATGACGCGTTGGGTCGAGGGTTCTAATTTCTAATTTTTAATAATATTATGCACGTTCTTTTATGTGATTTCCGGTACTCTTTCGATGACCGTATCAAATATTAATAATTTGTCTTAACAATTGATCTACTATGAAAAAAATCATGATTTCTACAAAAAATATTTTATTTATAAATATTTTAGGACGTCTCAAATATTGAAACGTATAAGAAATTAAAATTTTTTTTATGAGACGTAGTAAAAGCAGTAATTCATTCAGTTGCCAACTTAGCGTTGATGTTAATCTGCGCTGCTTGATGTTAGTTCCCCGATGGGGTACCATACGGAAACAGTGACACACACCTTACCCTATTACTAGTTTCCTTAACCATAATGTTTCACCAGGTCGACAGTCAAAAAGCGTAAAAATCCTTTCAAATCATTGTTAAGTAGAACAGAGCCCGGATAATTGAGTTAGAGATTAAGAAGATGATGATGAGTAAAATCATATCAGATTTATAATGTACTCCTGTACAGTCTTCTATGAGTAATCAACTTCTTAAGTCTAAAATTTGTCTTTTTTCTTGTATATCTTTATTCACAATATAAGAATAACTATAAATGTAATAATACAAAAACCATTTAGAATTATGAGAATTATATCTTAGACTAAAAAAATACATTACATTATATAACTATATCGTAACTTAGTAAATTTTAGTATATATAATAAAGTTAAGCATGTTTCAACGATGATGTTACATCATAGTGCCTCCAACATCAGTAACGCCAAACTTGACAGAGAGCATGACAGTGAATAGTTCATTACAACAAAATACCACCAGTTCTAGTAATTCCAGTCTACAATTGAGTAACACCACAGTTATAAAAAGTCCACCGATGTCTGAATCACTTGATAATAATAGTTTAAAACCACCACCAATGTTGATAGCATTAATTAGTACTGTGGTTGGACAAGATCGAAAGTTAACGTACTTATGGCAATATCGATATTGGGTAGAAACTATCATGAAAGTAGTCAATATGAAAAAATCCCCTTCTATTACATGTCCAACAATAATATCTACATCACCTCGAATAAAAAGAACTTCAACATTTAAAGCAATATCTCAAGTAGTTAATTATTACGATAGTGATGAATACATTTCTATTTTGAGGAACCCATACGTTTGTGGATCAAATTCTTTATTAATCAGTTCTAATGTAGATTATTTTTTTGTAATTTTCATTTCGCTTTTATTATAAGATGAAGTGGGGCAATTGTAAACTGGGGAATTATTATCAAGTTTGATATTTTAAACTATATAAATTTATAATATTACATAAATTAAATAATTTTTGTTAACAAAAAATATTGGTTTAGCAGTTTTTGAGCTTACTATAAATAAGTTATGAAATAAAAATTAGGTATCAAAAAATGACCTGAGAATTTTTATTGATTGGTAGGTTTTCATTTTAATTGTTTCAAAATAGATTTTAGAAATTTATTTTTCATATAATTTAAAATAAATATTATATATTATCACGCAAAAACATGATTCATCGATAAATATTACATAACTTCTATTTTAGTAGACTTTTTATCCCGTTTACTATTACATTTTATATCAAGTATATATGCTTGGGATCATGAACTGATTATCCTGTATACATATTTTTCAAATCTAATAATTTTTCAAGATGTTAACATGATTAGGTAGAGGAATTATTTTATTGAGAGTACAATTTTTATTTCAGTAATTAATAATATACTTGTTACCTCTGTGTTTGATTGAGTATAAACTATGAACTTGCAAATATCAGTATAATGACTTTCAGGATTCCACCTAATTTGTCACAATTGACTTTTTATTAATAATGGTAGATTTTTCGCTGTCTAACCATAATGTTAGTGTTTTTACAAATATTGCAAAGTTTAAAGCAAACAGCAGAAAAGATGGCGTTTACTAGCGCCCTTTGGTCTATCACCGGTAATTTTCACGTTTTCCGCTGCTGGCTCTGCATTTATCAAGTTTCCTACCACTCGACACGTGGATAGGTCGCCAGTTAGACGTAGTTTTTACCGTGACTGTTTTGTATGCGATTTAATCTTTGTTAAAGCGTGATCTGGCTTTTGTGACGTTCATATAAAAATTATATTATATTATAATATAATATACATTATATTAAAAAAAAAATAAAAATATACATTGTTTACGTTCGCATATCACGAAAAATATATAACTTTGTTTTTACATTTTTAGTTATTTTTGTTTATCATTAAAATGGATACTAAAAACAGTGGGAGTAAAGAAGCTAAAAAAATTGACAACATTTTTAAAGGCAATGTAAATGCAGTATTTAAATTGGATGGAGCTGTGTATTCTATCGGTGAGTAACGATATTTTTATTGTTCAAAATTCACTTCTACCATACAAATATTAATTGTTTCTTTTAACAACTGATAATATTCTTTGATGTAATAAAAATGTTACAACTGAAACTTTAATTTAAACAACTTAAAATCTTCAAAAGAAATCAACTATATTTATAGATTGTATAATATATATAGTACTAAAAGAAAAAAGATTCTTAAATTTTGAATGATTAAAAAACATATATTTAATTAATTGATTATTTGTTTGAAATAATTCTATCGAAAAAAATCCCTAATGGCTTCTCTAATTCCTTTTTAAATTTATTTTATTATTTTGCCCTTCCTTGTTGAAATTTAAATGTTCTTTTCTTATAAGTTATGTAATGAAAAAAAATATCCGTATATGTGGGTGTATTGACCAAGTTTGGTTGTTTGGGGATTTGGTCAATTGGTGAGCAATGAGGTTGTAGAGTCCAAGGGTTTTAGAACAATAAAGACAAGTAGATATAAAGAAAAAATTTAGATCCCCTTTATTGAAGAATAAAAACTAATTAATTGGTAAGCACCTTTAATAGGACACTGAGGCAACAAGGCGATAATCCGACCCACAAATACCCAGTCGAAGTGTCTATTAATACGATCAGACACACATTAGGTATTCTACACTCTTTACAGACATGGGGCAGTAATCCGATTCTCCAAACCCTGTATATGTATAAAGTGTGAACAAATTATTAAAAGTACCTTTTGAAATTAAAAGTAATAATTGATCTATTGCTTTATCGTTCTCTGCTTAGATTATTAATTCTAAATAATGAGGTTAATGTGAATTTACTTACTTCTTTTATATTGCTTGCGTAAAGGTCGTCGATAGTCAAAATATTAAGTACGAAACTGTTTCTTAAATTGTTCTAATTCGCACACATGAAAATTCTATAATGTTTCATTTTATATAAATAAATATAGTCTCGACGCAAAATAACTTTATTTCAATATCGTATTAAAATGTACCGACGACAACACGGGGCCGTGGCTAGTTGAGAAAAACAAATTGGACAAGAGAATTCTGAATTCTATATTGAATTCAGAGCTTCAAAAGTCCGACTTGCTTGCTCACAGATGCGCAAGAAGGACTAAGTCTTTTTATATTACCCTTAATTACCTTCATCTTGAGATATTTTCGTTGGCGCTTTTAATGATTTTTAGTTTATTATTCAAAAATACCAAAATACCATTATTATTTTAAGATAATATCCATAGCATAAAATTATCATTTTAACATGTATATACATATAGAAAACTAGTGTACAACGGTGTATATTTTATGAAAGATAAATAAATTATTTGTTTGTATACAAGTGGTATAAAATACAGATTATAAATTTTTCATTGATAAATATATGATGCGTATTGCAAAGCGATATTACGTCAGTTACCTTAAAGAAGCTTACCACACAGTTGAATTATGAGTTTATCTTACGAGAAATGTATTGTTTGTAATTTTTTTCTTAAGTATGTAAATTATAGTCGAAAAAATAGTATAATGAATTTATAAAGAGACATCTATCTTACCTGCAATCGACATTAAGTTTTATGACACACACATATAACTTATTTTTTTATATTTCTATAATACTTAGGTTAAAAAATTTATAACAATGTTAAAAAATACATTTCTTGTTTTAAAATTATTTTTTCGAAGTTAAATGTTGTTATTTTTAATTTTAATTTATACCATTTTTATCAAGTTATATTTAATCGATTGTTCTTATTATTATTATTTACCCTTATAAATTATAATTACTAAAAAATAAATTTTAATCAAAGTAAATAAAAGACAATACGAAGACCGTGTTTAATAAATGTGAACTGTAAAAATCCTCAGTTAATACGTAAAACTAGTATACAGACAAATATCTATGTAGCAAGTTCAAATTTAGTAAAATTTCTAAGATCATTGGTACTAAATTTGATTTAAGTATATTTCAAAAACATGATAACCCATTTAATTTGTATTACTCATATTGGAATTAAATTTATTTAATTTTGTTAAATATCGCAATTTATAAACGGTGTAATAAAAGTTTAAAAAAGTGTAACATCGCTATTTTCTAATTTATGGTTATGATAGAAATGGGCCAGTTAATCAAGTTAAGTTTAGTTAACTATAAACAGCGTCGATAATCTAAAAGTTAAAAGTCAAAAATTTATAAATTTAACTAGCAAAGTTAAAAGTTAAATTGATAATATTTTTTAATTTAGCTTATTTTAAAATAAGTTTATTTAATTATTTGAGAACTTAATAATTTTTTTGGTCAAATCACTTTATATCGATTTTTTAATGGTTAGTAATCTAAGGAAAGCTGGGAATCGATTTTTAACTTCTGAAACGAAATAGAAAAAAAAATATTAGTTATGACAAACATACTTATTTGTTTTGTTGCTTAACATCGATTTGAACAATTTGGTGTTGGTTTAACTGTATTATCTATAGTTACATTTAAAAAAACAGGTAGAGAATCAAATAAATTATATTTATAATAATATAATTTAACTTAATATTGATTTTTTAACTAGTTAATGTCCCCCTTTGATAATAGGTACTATAAAGGAGAGTGTATATTATGGCAAAATATTATAACCCATTAATAACTTACTATTATTAAAGTTTTAAGTTGAAATTTGATTTTTTCATTAGTGATGATGTAAAAAAATTATATTTTAATTCTTTCAGAAATGTTTTATATTTAAGGGTTACACTACTCAATATAATAACTGATAATATGTTACACAATAAAATGATTTTATGGCATACGGTTAATTTTTTTAATTCAATTTATCTAAGTTGTTTAAATGTAACATAAAGCATTATTGTAAATTTTTGTCCAACTTAAAATTACTGATTAAAAATAATGATACAAACTGAGGATATATATTAGTAAGAGCTATAATTATTACACTATAAAATTAATTAGTTGCTAGTTAATCATTAAATGATTATATAATTATTGTTAAAGTAATGTTTAGATTTTATTTAACTAGTGATAATAGTGGGTAAATAATTAAATATTTAATTTTGTATTTTTATTTTATATCAGAATAAATAATCATTAGCTCTTTGGATAAAATCTTATTTACTACCTAATAAGTTGTGAGCATAATTTTAAATTTCAGAGATGTATACGGTGACGTCATGGCTTTTGACTAACTAATTAATGTAAACCCAGAGAATATTAAAACGCTCAACCCGTCGACCATTATATTTCTGAAAAAGAAGAAATTAATTATGTAAACACAACAACTAATTTAATAAGTGCATACATTTTAATTTATTCTTCCAAGAACATAACTTAATTTATAAAAAAAAACTTATCCAGCATAAAAATGAATAATAATACCATCAATTGGGCTAACTTGTGTTAAAATTATGGTAAATAAATATTAATTATCATTTTAGTGGTAACAATTTACAGCGCTAGAAAAATGTTTAAAAATATTTAAAAAATATTTATGAAAAGTAAAATCTGTAAAATATTTACAGAACTGACTCAAGATAAATTAATATATAAATATATTAAAAAAATTTATAATAATGGACTTTATAAATATTTGTCGTTTATAATTATTTAATTGGTAAAAACTTTAACATAATAAGTATAACTTTTAATTTTTGAAAGTAAAAATAATTTGAGCAAAAATTTTATTAATAAAATGTACACTTATGAATTTTATCTTCGATGCAAAACTGAGATGCCATTAATTTTATCACGATGTGTACTTGACTGTCATCACTTTTTCTCAGCTCTCACATATTTTTCAACGATCGAAAGATTGTTTTTAGTTGCAGATATTACTCTCAAAAATTATTCCTTATTCTCTGTAAATAGTAGAAATCCCAAAAAATAACTGTTTTTGAAATCGATAAATTTCGAAATTTATAAATCTTTTTTACTTAAAACAGTCAAAACTCTCATGAAAAAAAAATGAAGGAATCAAAACAAATTTTTAATAATTTTCTTAAGTATTTTCCTTTCATTAAGTATAAAATTGTTAAAAATCTGACTGTTTATCTGCCTACAAGCATAAATTCAAAATGGTGACTTTTGCATGAAAAGTTATTATTTTCAACTTAAATTTTGAAAATTTTCCTAAAATACTATTAACTATAAACATATGTCAAAATAAAGTTATAACTATTTAAAAATAGAAGTGAAGTGTGTTATGATATTTTTATCATTCCGGAGTACTATTTTAAAAGTTTTTATTGACCCCTTATTTTTTTAATAGATTATTTTTTATTTAATTATTTAGTTAAAAATACAATAAAAATATTGAATAACAATTTCATTCTAAATTTAATTTTTATAGTATGTATTTATTCATGTATTGTACTTATAAATCATATAACTTGTAATCACGATATAATTAAGGAATTAGAAATCGATGTTGCTTATTGAATAATTAAATAATTCTTTATAAAAATTCAACATTTTCTACAGATTTGTATCAAAGAGTTTTTTATTGTAATGATTTTAATTGCTGTCAAATCTATACTTGACCCAACTATGCCACGTGTTTGTTGTGGCCCGACCCCAATGTGCCTCTGTGTTGGTTCTTTTTATTTTCAGCAATATACATTATGTGCTAAAATTTCAAATTTAATTATACTCTACAGAGCGGTGGTATGCTTAGTGGTTTAACAGAGCTTGTCATCAAAGCCAGGCACCAGAACTACAAAATGTTTTTTCTCAAAAATGACAAAAAAAAATGTCATCAAAATGCTCTTGAGCAACCAAGTCTCAGTACTAGAGGTCTAAACTACAATAGTTATAGCTGGACCTGTCCTTAATATTGATCCTGGTATACCTTAGCTAAAAAAAGTAAAGAATAACATTTTTATTTAATACGATTTTCAAATTGATACTACAAATTGTTGTACATTTTTCAATATAATTAAGTTGGTTTATTGTTATAATATAGTATATAATAAAATATGTTTATGCAAAGTAAACTT